TACGGAGTCAGGCTCACCGGCCCGGCCTCGGCCGAAGCGGCTTAGCCGGGGAGAGGGGATGCAAAGGCCGCGGGCCTGGGGCTGGGCCGGCGGGGGCAGCGCCCGGCCCGCGCCCCGGTTGGGCGCCCCCGGGGCAATGCGCAGGCACGGGGCGACAAGCCTCGCTCTGCTCGCGGAGCCTTGGAGGGCCGCCTCAGTGGGGCAGGAGGGGCGGGCGGCCGGGGCAGGAAGGCGGGCTCAGCCAAGCTCAGCCCGGGTGGCTCCTGGAAGGACGCTGGGCTGGAAGCGGCCCTCCTGAGCAGCCCCCTCTCCGTCTGGCGGTGGCAGCCCCCAGCCAGGCCGGGTCTTTCCCTGCGGCCTCAGCCTGGCCTTTGGATCGGGCGATGTGGAGTCCCAGGCGCTCCCTGGAGCTGTGGGGTCGGAGTGCTCAGCCAGCATCGCCGGGCAGTGGCCAGGGCCCCCCAGCGGAGGAGCAAGTCCACCTGGGACCATGTTGTCCAGGGCCCCTCACACCTGGAGCAGTGCTGCCACGGAGGGCATGCAAACGGAGGGTTCTCCCGGCGCCAGCTGTAGGCACGGGAAGCCACGCCTGGCAGGAGAGTGGAGGCCACGTCGGACGGGCCACTGGCGTCTGCTTTCTGTGGGAGACCCCCTCATGCAGCCAACTGGGTCTCCTGGCAGCACAGGACTGTGGGAGCTGGCCCTGCCCTGCCCGGCCCTCCAGGCGTGTGTGGGCTCTTTCACACCCAGTGCTGTGCCCCATTTTTTACGCATTTGCTTGCATGCTTAACAGGGAGCGCTGCCTGGGGGAAGCGAAGGGCCTGGGGCTGTCATGGGAGGGACCAGACACAGGCACCGGGAAGGCCTCTTGGGGAGAGCACTGCAAGCGGGGCGCCACCACCCTCCTCTAGAAGCCACCTGTCTCCTTGTTCCAAGTGGTGCGGGGGGGCCCTGCAGGTGTATTCTGATTTCTTGGCTGCTCCACTGCGGAAGGTCAAAGGGCGCAGGGCCTTGCAAGCAGCAGATCGATGCTTTTGGGACTTAGTCCGGGGGTGGGGGGGAGCCGGGCTTCTTCCTTCCGGCCTTCCGCTCGCTCGCTGCGCCCTTCCCTTCAGCCAGGAGCTGATCAGGGCGTGGCTTGATGCCCTTGCCGTGGCAACTCATCGATCGATCGGATGCTTGACTGAGCCACGGGGTGTTTCTAGTTCGGGCGCCGCTGCGGTTCTGCAGTTTGGCGGAACGGGTGACCGTCCATAGACTGGAAAAGCAGGCGCTGGAGCCGCCCTGGCGGGGCTGATGATACTCCGAACGAGTGGAGGCCGGACTAGGACCCCCCCCCCAAATGTTGCAGCGTTGCTGGGCGGCACCTCTTTTCCCCACGCCTCCCTTGCGGGCCCGGGGGCCGGAGTGTGAGCTGGTGGCCAGCTGGCTGGCCGCTCTGCTGTGGCGTCTCGCAAGCCCTGCAGGGCCTCTCGGTGACCATGGCTGCCGGGAGGCCTTTGCCAGGCCAGGTGGCACTGCACAGCCAGGTTATCCAGGTGCCGCTCGGCCAGAAAAGGGAGGGCAGCAGGAGGGCGGACCCTCAGCGTGCCACCAGTACCACCTGGAGGAGGCAGGCGATCTGCACAAGGAGAGCCTCTGGCCGCCTCTTCCTCCTCGAGTGGCTGCTGAGAAGTCTTTATCCGCCACTCCGGTGCTTCTTGGGGCAAGAGCCCACACTGACCTGAGGTTTGCCCCAGAGCGTGGTGTGCTTCCTCTGAACATGGGGGGGCGGGGGCTTTGGCTAATAGCTCTGGGCAGATCCATGCCATTCAGAGAAGAATTCGCCCGACTCTTTGTAAAGCTTCTTAACCTAGTGGCCATCAGAACATAAACAGTGCCTTGCTGGATCAGACCAAAAGTCTATTTCTCCGTCTTTTATTTATCAGTGTATTTATTTTATTTATATTCTGACGTTCTGTCAAAAAGTGGCATGAAAAGAGCTAGCGATTAAAAAAGAATTAAAAGAAATCATTATTTAAAAACAGAGCATAGAAGTAAGTATTAAAACACACTCACAGTGAAAAGGCAACAGTTCATTAAACCACCACCACCTTTGGCAACAGGACAGTTCGGACAGCAAAGTCCTGCCAAAGTCGGAGTGGCTTCACCTGCCGGCAGGACAACCAAGAAGGAGTTGACACGGCCTCACTTGGCAGGCGGTTCCAAAGCCTGCAGGCAGCCCCTTGTGTCACCGGCACGTGTGTCCCTGGAGCTGGGGGCCCCCACAGGGCCCCCCTCGAAGATGCTAGCAACCAGGAGCCTCCGAGGGCAGAGGCAGTCTGCAGGCAGCCTGGTCCCAAGGCAGTACGGGCTGTCTAGGCCAGGACCAGCGCAGGGAGCTGCTCCCAGAGACGGCCGGGGGTGCCGGGGGCACGGCTGCTGAGGGTGATCCAGGCTGGAAAAAGCCAGGGCTCCGGGGTGGCACATGGAGGAGCGAGGAGGCAGCCGTCCCTTTCATCCTTCTGGTATGAAGTTCATCCTCCCAAGCTGCAGGTCAGGCGAGCACAGGGCGAGAAAGCACCTCCCGGACCCTCCCCTCTGAACCTGCCTGGCCTCATTTGCTGCTCATCTGCTCTAATTGCCAATAATTGGATCTCCGGCCTCCTTTGCAGGTGTTTGAAGGAACATCTGGGATTGATGCAAGTAAGACATCCTGCGAGTTCACAGGGGACATTCTCCGCACACCTGTTTCCGAGGATATGCTAGGTACGTAACGCCCCATCGGGACGGAGATGGAAGGGGAACAAATTAATCTTGATATAATGCCTTGTTGCCGCATCTGCAAAAAGGGCTGTGAGTTAATCCAGCCACAAAGGAGGGTGAAAGAGCATCGGGGCGACCCTAGATCAGATGGCTTAACAAAAGGGAGGCCGGACGGACGGATGGACGGATGGCCGGACGGAGGTGAGGAAAGGCAAGGGGCCACCCAGGGTGGAGGGCCATCCTGAGGAAAGGTGTCATCCAGTGCCGGCGTGGGGGGCCGCCCTGGGGCCGCACGGCTCGAGGGCAGCCGCTCTCGCACCGGTTCCGGTGGGATGGACAGCCGTGCTTTGGCACAAGTTCTCCTTCCCTCCAGGGAGACTGCGACAGACGTGCGCCCTTCCGTCACGAGGGGGGCGGCAGCCGCGTGGATTTTGAACGTCAGGCATTTGTGAGACGCGCAGGAGGCGTGGGCTCAAAACGCAGGCGAAGGAGATGAGGCCTCGGAGAGAGCCTGGTGTGTCCTGTAACTCACCGTATTCCCAGCGATGCTCTTTTCCCAGGGAAGTCTCCTTACACAGCTTGGCAGAGGCTATGCTGATGGAGAAAGGTTGGATGTTGCCATCCAGAGAGGTCAGGAGGGCTTGTTCATTTTGGGTGGCTTTTAATCTCGCAGTTCAGCTGCTGAGATTCACTGTTAGCAAAAACAATCCCCCTCCGGTCGGTGGCTCAGGTTCATTGCCCGGAGCAAGAGGCACCGTCTTTGTCCCCTCAGTTGCAGCCTCCCCTCCAGGTCTTGCACTGGTGGCATCGCTTTGCACCAGAATCAGCCCCTTCCTCTCCCATTGGATGGCCCAGCAGTGGCGACCTCTTGCAGGACTCCACACCTGAGCCTTCCCCAAGTTGGGGCTCTCCAAATACGCCAGACTACAGCTCCCAGCATCCTCAGCCAGTCTGGCCACAGGAATCCTCACCCCCACACACCCGGAGGACACCGGCCTGGGGACAACTGACCCACTGAATTACGCTGCTTGCTTTTAGGATGGCTCCAGTCACGCACCCCGGTGTGTGCCGCACGGTTCTGCATACGCAACCTCTGGGCAGCCCGATAGGAGGGTCTTTTGTGCCGTGCAGGCCGGGCCACCATGCGCTCATCGCGGGTTAAGCGGCCCACGTTGACCTGACGACGAAATGGCCGTGGCACATGGCCCGGCGGGCTGCCCTGCGTGTCAGCAGCGGGCACAACGGCTGCGGGACGGCCTTGTGCCTTTGCGCAAGGGGGTCGTCTCAGGAGGCGGGTGCGGATGCGGCGGGCGGTGGGGGTGCAAGGGGCTGCGGCGAAGAGCCGAGTGGCCGGGCGCTGGCTCTCCAGAGCGACTGGAGCTCTTGCGTGCGCAGGTGCCTCGGACTGCCCAGAGAGTCCTTCCTCTTTCTCTTTCACCTCCTCTCCTCCTCCTCCTCCTCCTCTTTTGTGCTTCAGTGATGTGTGTCTAAGACAAACGGAACGTGCCTGAACACCAAGGTTACTGGCCTTTCATGGTCCGCGGCTCCTTCGCCCCATTTCCATTTCTGCATTGATCTTCATTTGCTGTGACAACAGCAATGCTTTTTCTCCCGTCCCTCTTAAAGGACCGGAAGAAAGCAGCATACTGGGGGTCTTGCCAGTCGCGGGGAGGGGGGAGGATGAGTGCAGCTGTATTGATTTGTTCCTGGCCGTGGCTGATAACCAATCTATAGGGGGCGGGGCTGGGGGAACAGCAATGCACAGGAGAGAACGAGGGGTCTCTGGTGGAAAGGTTAAGCAGGCCACCCAGGGGCTCGGTGCCTTGAAGCATGTGCTCTGCAGTGTCCGTGTACTAAAGCCCAGAGTGTGGGAAACAAACAGCATGAACTTGAACTCTTAATACGGGAGGGGGAATGCGACTGGACAGGTGTAACTGAAACTCGGTGGGCCGACTCCCGGGGCCGGCATTCAGCCACCGAAGGGCAAACTGTCCCGGAGGAACAGCAGGAACGGAAAGGGCGGTGGAGGTGCGCTCTGTGTGTTGAAGAGCCACGTCACTGCGCAGAAATGCTTAGGGGCCCCCTTGAGAGCATCGGGGTGAACAGCAATGGCGCGAGGGATAAGAGGAGCAGAGTGGCGGGGTCTCTTACCAACCACCTGCCCGAGGAGCAGGTGAGGATGACCCCTTTGGACAGCAAGGCGCCAGCGTGTCAAGGAGGGGCGCTGTTGCCATTAAGGGGGGCTTCAGTGTCCCCGGTATCTGTTGGGAGGCACGTTCTGCCCAACGGGGTCCCGCCAAGAGATTCCAGCATCTGCTGCTGGCAACTTCCTCCGACGGAAAGCGGAGGGCGGGACAAGAGGAACGGCCCTCCCAGACTCGGTGCAGGGAAGTCCCGGTGGCCAAAGGGGCGGCTGCGGGAGCTCAGGGGGATCCCGTCCGCGGATCCTTGGTTCTAAAGGGAGCAAAAGGGGGGCAGCCAAACACGCACCCGGGACTTCGAGGGAGCCAATTTTAATGAACTCAGAACAATGATAAGCCGAGTCCCACGGCAAGTGACTGTAGTGAGAAATGGAGTCCAAGAGAGGTGGGATTTTTTTAAAAAGGAAATTCTAAAGGTACAATTGCAAATAATTCCAACCAGGAAAAAGAAAGCCCATGAAGCTTCACAAAAAGCTTAAGGATGCTCTGAAAAGAAAAAGGGACATATTTGGGAAGGCCCATCCACGAAGGAAAAATGCAGGCAGGTAGCACGGAATTGAAGGGATGGTGTCAGGCAAACTAGGAGTGAATTTAAGCTAGCGATGGATGCTAAAAGCAACAAAAAAAACCCTTCTTTAGATATGTCCAAGGTAAAAGACAGAGGGAAGAATGAGGGGTACTCATCTGGAGTCCTGTGTCCAGTTCTGGGCCCCTGCACTGCAGAGTCTGTGCTGAGCGGGGGCTGGACTAGATGACCTCTGTGGTTCTGTCCAGCTCCACAATTCTGTGATTTGAAAGGGAAATGCCCAGCCTGGAACCCAGAGCCTTCCTTTCTCTCGCTCGCTTGTCGGGATCTACGTATCTCCTGCCTGCCCAGGCAGCTCATAAGCAGATAAAGCAAGGCATGGCAACAGAATGTTGTTTAAGACAGTCCAATCGGGTTAAAGCAAACAAGCCCAGAAACTAAAATGGCGAACTGGCAGAACGCTGAATACAATCAAAAGGTTTAGAAAGGTCTACTTAAGAGTTGGCCTTTGGGGGTCATTCGCACATGCGTAGTGCTGCGTGGCAGCTGGGCAGGGCCTGGGGGGTCCGTCCAGTTGTGGGGAGGGCGTCAAACCAGCTACCCCCAAAGCTACTCTTCAAAGCAGGGGCCCCCAAACTTTTTAAACAGGCGGCCAGTTGGCAGGTGCCGGGGGGGGCTGTGGGCCACCAAGGCTGCTCCGATGTCAGAGACAGTCTGCCTATGCACCCTAGTTGCTGGGGAGCATGGGCAGGTGGTGCCATGGTACCCATGTGCTGCTCGCAGTTCTTCCTTGGGAAGCGGGTTGGCCAGCGTGGGTGGAGATCAGGTTTCCTTGCTTCTGAGGTTGCGCGTTCCTCACTTGGATCCCGTGGAGTGGTTTATAAATGTTAGGAAGGACAGACGGTTGGACAGAAGTTAAAGAGCTGTGAGGAAGCAAACAAAGCGCTCATTTGAACCACTCCAGTCCTGCCCCCCCCCCCCCACGGACTGACTGCTGCAGCGAGTTTAATTTTGGAACATGCCGCTCCAGCGCCAGCGTGGCCTCGGGGCACGGCAAGAGCCGAGACGTTGGCTGGACACCCGGCCCATCGCCAGCTGCGAGAAAGACCCTCGCGGCTCGGCCTGCTCACGCTTCCGTGGGAGGCAGTCCCGCTGAAGCCCCGCTCTCGTGGCCCCCCGACGAGGGGCGGACGGACTGTGGCAGAAGCCGTGGGACGCGCGTTTGCTTCGCGCTGCCGCGGTGGAGCGGGGCCGCCCTCCGACCCGGCTTGTGCGGGGCCCTGTGTCGGGGGGCGCGCGGGGGGGCTGCCGCTCAGCCTCGCACGCCGGATCCAGCGGGACCGGTGTGGCACAGGGCCTGGGTGGCGGGATGGGCGGCCCCACTCGTGGGGGGGCCCTCAGCTCAGCTCTTGGGCTGGCAAGGCACCACTCTGGGCTGCTGTCAAATACAGGTCCGGTGGCACCCTACTTTAAGTCGGGGGGCTGAAGGAGGTGGTCCTTGGGGACCCCGCCCTCCCCTCCTCTGCAACCCGTTTCCAGCAGCGCGTCCGGCTTTTCTTGCAGGCCGGGTCTTCAATGGCTCTGGGAAGCCGATCGACAAAGGGCCGATGGTGATGGCGGAGGACTTCCTGGACATTAACGGTGAGCCCCCGTGATCCGCGCCGGGGGAAAGCGGGCTCCACGGGGCTCGTCTGGGGCACAGCCTGGGGCTACTCAGGAGCCGCCGGGGCTCCCAGGGTGGGTGGAGACACTGCCTCTGTCCCAAGGAAGCCAGGGCTCCCCGCCCTTCCAAATGCCGCCCCACGTAGCGGGACAGAGGCCGCTGCCGGTCGGCGAGGAAGCCCTCGGCTTCCCAAGAGGAGGAGGAGGGTGCTGGTGCCGGAGGGCTTTCATTCAAGGGGCCGCCATAAGTCGGAGATGGCTTGATGGCGTGTGGGGGGCCGCAAGAGCGAAAGCCGAGGAATCCTGTTTCGATACGAACCGTCACTGAAGCTTCACTGGAGGGTGCCAGTTTAAAAAAGCAAACCCCATGTCAGGATTCTAGTTCTTAGGCTGGAGACAAAAGCTTCCAGGTGAAACAGCATCAGCAGGCAGTGCAGACGCTACATGTGGTTTCTGTGGGGCTCCCCACGGGCCTGGAGGTGGGGCCTGGAAGCAGACCTCCAGAGGTGGGGAAGATGCAGTCCCGCAGGTGTTGCTGGAACTCAGCTCCCAGCAGGGATGATAGGCTTTGTAGTCCAAGAGCCACCGGAGCGCCAAATGTTCCCATTCCTCCTATGGGGGCTAAGAACCGCGGACAGAGGGATATCCTGGTCAAATACCAGATGTTTCAGGTTATAGCTCCCCTAAGCCCCAGCTGTTGAGCATGCATGCTGAGGCTGATGGTTGCTGTGGTCAAAACACATGCAGGGGCCAGCCGTCGCAAGTCTGGCTGCCGTCAGCTCTGCAGAGTCAGCGCACGTTTTGTTCGCTCTGCTCCAAGGGAGAACGTCTTTGTGCTTCCAGGGGCCCTTCGAGCGGCACCTCCGCCTGCTGCTGAGCAGGAATGGCGCTCCTGACTCAGTGGAGTGGGGGGGGGAGCCAGCCTTCCCAGCAGGGAGCCCCCCGCTTCCCGAATCCCACGAAAATGGCAAGGCGCAGAGCGGCTGCATAAACACTTACGGGGTCCACTCGTGTTTGGGCTGTACCACTTCAGAGGTCCTGCAGCTGCGACTTAACTTCCTCAGGGAGAACCAGTGCCAAATCATGGTGGCGTCGTGGTTGAGAGCGAGGGACTGGCACTCAGGGGATCCGGGTTCGAGTCCCCGCTCAGCCATGGAGCCAACTGGGTGACTCTGGGCCAGTCACAGACGCTCGGCCCAGCCTACCTCACAGGGTTGTTGTTGTGGGGATAAGATGGAGGAGGAGAACGATGTAAGCTGCCTTGAGCCCTTTGTAGGAAAAAGGCAGGATATCAGTCGCATGCTTCCTTTGCATTACAAGAAAGTAAAACAGCCCTTCCTCCTCCGCCATTCTCCGGAGTCTCACAAGAGGTGCACTTGCCGCCCCCAATGTACGCAGAGGAGGAGGCGGCCTGAAGGGGACCAGAGCATCTCTGGCGAGCTTTTGGATAGTAGTTCAGGGGCAGGTGCTTTAGGAGCTCCCGGAAGCAGAGGCTCCGTCGCTGACCCTTTCCCGATCGCTGCGCAGCCTGGAAGGGCTCAGGGCCACGCTCGCTCGGGTCAAAAGCGCCTGAGGCAGGGATGGAAGCTTGTCCCGTGGGGAAGGTCTCTGCGCGTCGCACCCATGGGTGTCGCGCCTGCGCAGTGCCCGTCTCCGCCAGCCTCGCGCGGCCGTCCCTGTCCCTGACCGAGGGTTTTCCAGATGCATCAGGCTGCCATCCCTGGCCACCCAGCGCTGGCTGGAGCTACGGCAGCTGCAGACCCACACATCTGGGGGACCCCAGGTTGGGGAGGCCAGCTGCTGCAGAGGGGGCTCTCTGCCTCCCCCCCCCCCCGCATCCCAGCAGCTGGCTCCGGCTCTCCTTCTCCAGGCCAGCCCATCAACCCGCACGGGCGCATCTACCCGGAGGAGATGATCCAGACGGGGATTTCCCCCATTGACGTCATGAACAGCATTGCCAGGGGGCAGAAGATCCCCATCTTCTCCGCAGCGGGCCTCCCCCACAACGAGGTACGCGGCACCCCACAGCGCCTGGCTCACGGGGCCCGTTTCCAGGACCTGCCACCCCGCAACCCACCCCCTGCTCCGCCTGGCCGGGTGTGCTTCAGGGACGGAAGGGGGCTCTGGCGCAAGCGAGTCCTTGCCTTCTCTCTCTGAAAGGAGAGGAGCTGTGCTCCGGAAGCGCGTTGCGAACTGAAGCTGGCCAAGGCACGGGAGGTCCCAGACCCCACCGGGCAGGCAGGGCACGTGTGAAGGCAGACTCCCAGCGTGGGGATCATGGGGAAGCCCCCCCTGCTCCTCTAAACCTCAGGAGACCTAAACTGCGCCCAGCTGCACCGACTACTTTCCAAAGAGTTGGGTGCTGGACCTCCAGCCCGCCTTGAAATCCCATCCTGTGACCCTCCAGGGCCATTTGCACTCTGCACATCCACAGAAACACTCTTGCTGCAAAACGACTAATAGCTGGGGGGTCAGGTCCTGGCACAGGCCAACCCCCCCTTTCGGGTGCTGACGTCCCGCCAACCCCCTCCGAAGGCAACGCAGAAGAGCCAGAGAAGAGGGCGGGGGGGGGGGCTTCCCACCGCAGTTGCCAAGTGCAACGAGGCTCTCAGAGCTGACAAGAGCAGAAGCGCCCGGCTGAAATGCCAGGCCTTGTCAGCCCCGATTGCTGCGGCAGCGCAGCCCTGCCCTTTGATGAACCCGAAATAGCAGGGCTGCTCCCCGCGCACCGGGGGTCGGGCTGGCCCTGCGCCCAATGAGGGAAGCGGCTGCCTTCCACTCCTCAACAACAGCAGTGGGCATGTGTGTGCTCCCGCACACGCACCAAGGAGCACAATCGGCTGGAAAACACACCTTGACAGATTGGGAGTGACAGATGAAAGTGAATATGATAAACTCGAGGTCTGGGGTGGCGAGCGCTGCAGGAGCAAAGGGTGCAGAGGAGACCGGGGGGCTGGAAACTCCCTGCTCTTCCCCAGTTCCCCAGGGGCGCGGGGGCACTGTACTCCCCACCAGCGCCGTTGGCATGTTTTATTTTCATTTGTTTATTTGACTTAGAAACTGAGCGAGTCAGAAGGGGCCTTCTGGGCCATCTAGTCTGGCTTCTGGGCCTTCTAATCTGGCTTGAGCAGAGCCCCAACCAGCTCTGCTCATGACATGCTCGCCATTTATAAAACTGCACCCGATATTCCCAAGCAGGACTCTCTGGGAGGTGTGCATCAGGACGTGTTTGGTTTTAGCACCCATCAGCAAGACGTGAGTGCCCCCAAGCATGTGCAGAGGGCCCTTTTTCACAACTGCGGAACCAAACAGTGACCATCCAACGGTGGCCTTAGGCAGCGGGTTAAGGGAGGAAAGTTTTGAGGAAGCTGCCGATTCCACGCCAGGCGGCACAAATGGAGCGAAAGGGGCGACCAGGCGCTCGGCAGGCCAAGCCGTCCCTGCTGCTAATGGGACACAAACTCCAGACCGGGCAGAATGTTCGGCCTTGAATGCGAGTTCTGACATTTCCAGAGCGATCGTGCTTTTTTTCCTGAAATTGGGAGCTGCAGCGAGCCGTTACACAAGTCAGGTCTCCTCCACAAATAAATTAGGAGCATGTGCTGGACCCCCCCCCACCCATTCCAGCTCTACCGTCTCTGTAAGCCATACGGCCTGGCATATTCATTTATGCTAATGTATGCGAATGAGCAGGGCTTCCTCGCTCCCCCCGCCCTCCTGGGGTGCCTCGGAACCCCCCTGCTGGCCCTGGGAGGAACTGCGGGCACGCGGCCTTCCCTTCGCTGCTGCCCCGCGTTGTGCGCGGCGCCCGAGGGGGCCCGTGCTGCGCCCACCCGTGGCTCCTTTCCTCCTCGTGACGTGGGCTTGCTCTCCTCCTCGCACGCCTCAGATTGCGGCTCAGATCTGCAGGCAGGCCGGGCTGGTGAAGAAGTCCAAGGGCGCCCTGGATTTCCACGAGGATAACTTCGCCATCGTCTTCGCTGCCATGGGGGTGAGTCGCTCTTCCCAGAGCACCTGGTCTCTCGCTGCCCCTGGCCGTCCAAGGGCGAGCTGCCGGCCGCACCGGGGCCCACGCGAGCCGTGCTCAGGGGAAAGGGCTGCGGGGATTGGCCCCCCTTGCGCAGCACGAGCCTCTTTTGGGCGTGAGAGGTTGCGCCTTGAGGGTGGTGTCCTGGGGGTGCCCCCCCTTTCCTATTCATGCCTGACACACGAGGGACTCAGGGACACGAAAAAAATGACAACACACGAGCCGCCCCCTTTTCAGAGGAACTGGGCCGTCTGGCAGCTCGTCTGAGCCACGCGCGAGCATTTGAAGCCTCCCACTGCATCAGGCGGCCGCTCCGTCCGTTCCCAAGCCTTACGCAGAGCTCGCTCCGCAGGAGGCCCCGGCGGGATGCCCCCTCGCCGCCCGCCGGGCAGCAGCTCTGGCCGTGCGGGAGCATCCCAAGGAAAAGCGGGCTGGACCGGGGAAGGGTGCCCTCCGCGCCGCTCGCTTCCCCGGCTCAGCCTCCCCAGGCTGGCGGGCAGTGGGCGAATCGGCGGCACCTTGCTCCCCCTGGTGGGCAGTCGCGCCCTTGCAGGCGGCCCCGGTCGCCTCTCCCGCCCCGGTCCATACATGTCAGTTCGCAGCTCGGCGGCCCTCATCTGTGGGTCCCCGGAGCGCCAGGCTGGGGAGCCCGCTCTGAGTACCACCTCCAGGCAGCCAGGATCCCTCCAGATGGGTCTGGCTGCGGCTCCCACCCTGGCAGTGCCACAGCCCCCCGCCCCCCCCGCCGGGGCATAGAAACATAGAAACAGCGAGTCAGAAGGGGTCTCCCGGGCCATCTAGTCTGACCTCTGGCACCAGCCGGCCCCGCTCACGACATGCCCACCATGTGCACGTCCAGCCTGTACTTGAACACCCGCACTGAGGGGGCCTCAACCACCTCCCGGGGAAGCCCATTCCACACCCTCAGGGTCCTGACTGTCAGGAAGTGCTTCCTGGCATCCCAATTGGACCTTGGCCCCCTGAGCTTGGCTCCCTTGGAGCGCGTCCTGCCTTCCTCTGCAGGGGAGAACAGGTCTCTCCCCATCTCCATGTGACAGCCCTCTGGCTGGGGCATCCACAGGACCACGGCCAGAGGGCCAAGCTGGCCATCGAGTCGATTTGCAGGGGGATGGATCGCCTGTGTGCTGCCCCCTCTGCTCTGCCCAGGACCCCCAGTTCAGAGGGCTGCAGGCACCCTGTCGGCCTGGGCCCCCACGCTGCGGCCTTGTGCAGACTCGGCTGGACCAAGTCCTGTGGTTCCCTCCGTTCTCCAGCCAGCCCTGCTGGGCGGTGCCAAGACCAGCAAGGCCTATTCTTGCAGCATTTTAATGTAAGTATTTCTTTCACTTTGACGGCTGCTGCACTGTTCCCCGGTCTGCAGGGACTCTGAGGGCAGCTTACGAATTAGACTATTAAAAGGTCTATCTTTGCAAGTTAGGCTATTTAAAAAAAGGAAAAGAAATTACCAGCACCAAGAATACCACCAATAAAACTCCAGAAGGCTTCCGTTCTGCGCATGGACATCATTTATGTCTTCAGTTCAAAACACAAACAGACCCTCCAAGCAACTTTTAACCCAGTCAGTTGCCCCTGGAAGCCCTAGAGGTAGGACAGGAAGGAGATGGCCCAGGCCCTGGAGTCTGTTGCCGGTACACTGCCCCTGCACATGGAAGTTCCACGGAACCAGGACCTTACCTTGTCCGCGAGTTGCTCCACAGACTCACTGCTCTCTTTTGTCCTGTACCTGGCAGGTGAATATGGAAACTGCCCGTTTCTTTAAGTCAGACTTCGAGGAGAACGGCTCAATGGAGAACGTCTGCCTCTTTCTGAACCTGGCCAACGACCCCACGTGAGTGAGCCTCCAGCGGGCCATTCCATCCGTCCGTCCATCCGTCTGCCTGCCTGCCACCTGTCCATTTATTACATTGCTGTGCCGCCCAACAGCTGAAGCTGGCCCAGGCTGTGCTTCTGGGGGGCATGCACTGGCCCCAGTTCCAGAGCCCAGCACTGGGGCATCCAGCTTAAGCCACACTAAATGCCTCACTGAAGCGAGCAGGCGCTCCTTCCAGCAGATCCCTAAGCAAACAGCGCCTTGCATTCTCGCCAAAGCTTTACCCTGCCCCCAGTTTCCTCTAATTCCAGATCCTTTCACAACTACAGGGTAGAAATGTTTTAATTACATTAAAATTAGAAATTAAATCCAGGGGTGTGTGAGGAAGCAAATCTGATGGGCTTCATGGTCTTTTTAGTCTTTATATACCACCCCATTCCCAGGCTCAGCTCGGCCCGGGTCCGCTTTGCCACCCCCTGCGCCCAAACTGCTGGCAGCGCACCCACCCAGCCAGCGGGGCGGTCAGCAGGAGTCGCGCCCCAGGCCCTGCGCAGCCCCCCCCCCACGCCCAGCCTTTCTCGGCTGCCGCTTTGCCGGGGAAGAAGGTTGCCCACAGGGGCTTGCTGGGCAGAGAGCCCCTCCAGCCGAGCGGGTCCCTCTTCCTGCGGGAGGGGGATGCCAGCTCTGCAAGCGTTGAGCCTCGAGTGCCGGTGGGCTTCCTCTCGCTCGGCTCAGCTCGCTTTCTCAGCCTGGGCCGAGCTGGAGAGGAGGTGCACAGATGCGAGAGGGGCGGAGTCTGTTTGGGTTCGACCCAGCCCTCCATCACTGGTTGAAGGGATGCGGATGGTACCACCTGACTGGCAGCAACACATCGGCACGACACCCAGCGGAAGAGGGAGACGGAGGCGTGAAAGCAGGGCTGCAGCTTTATTTATTTATTAAATAAATAACAGTGCACGGGGTTGTGGGTATCTTGACTCCGTTGTCAGTCCAAAGGCAGACCGGAGCCAAGAAATGTGAAGAAGTCGAAGGCTCGGAAGGGCAGCCGTGAAGACCACGAGCGAGGTCCTCGGATGGCAGGTCGTTTCATCAGCCGCCTGTCTCCCCCAGGATCGAGCGCATCATCACCCCCCGCCTGGCCCTGACCACGGCCGAGTTCCTGGCCTACCAGTGTGAGAAGCATGTGCTCGTCATCCTGACGGACATGAGCTCTTACGCCGAGGCGCTGCGCGAGGTCAGTGGGGCGGCCGGGCGGGTGCCGGTGAGGGAGCTGGGGCAGGGGCCGCACGGTGCCTTCACGACTCTCCCTCTTTTGCCAGGTCTCGGCGGCCAGGGAGGAGGTGCCCGGACGGAGGGGCTTCCCGGGGTACATGTACACTGACCTGGCCACCATCTACGAGCGCGCCGGACGCGTGGAGGGCCGGAACGGGTCCATCACCCAGATCCCCATCCTGACCATGCCCAACGACGGTGAGCGGAGCCGGGGAGTGCCGGCTGCCCGCCCTGCAGGGAGAGGCGGCAGTTTAAGTCCGTGTTGGTTCCCAAAGGGGCCACGGCGTAGGGAGCGCAGGGCGGCCGTTAGGAAAGGGGGGGCGCTGCCGAGCTCGCTGGAGCTCAGCACTGGCTGCTCGGCGGTGGCAGCCAGCAGTATTTTCCGGGATAGCTCAGGGAGCGGGATTCCTTCAGGCTCGGTCTGGCTCATGCAGTAGGAGGAGAGGCTGGCTTCTGCCCTGGGGGGCACGGCCCTCCCCTGCACGGGTGACGTGGCCTGTGGCTTGGGTCACCCCGGGGGTGCGGGCCCCCTCCGAAGCCCAGGTGGCTGGCTCCGGGGGGCCGCCAAGAGAGCCCTTCCGGGGGCTCCCCTCGTGCCCGCAGCCCAGCACGTGGTGGGGGGCTTCTGCTTTCCCCAGGCAGCCCTGTCCCTCTCATTGTGCCAAGGGCTTCACTGCAGCCGTGGCCCTTGGTCCCGCCGGCAGGGATGGTGGAAACCGCAGCCTGGCCGTCTGGAGGGCGCCCCGTCGCGAAGGGCTGGCCGCGTGGGCCGCCTCTCCCTGCAGCCTCTCCCCTGCAGCCAGGCCTTCCCCGAAGCTCAGCCTCCTCCCGAGCCGGAGGGCTTTGGGCTGGCCCACTCAGCGAGGGTCCTGCAGGGCACGGCCGGGCCACGGTGCGGCCTGCAAGCGTGCGCTTGGGCTGCGCACTGGGCCGGAGGGATCCCGAGGGAAGAGGGGTCTGGAGCGCAGCGCAGCCGAGATGGCGTTCGTGCCTGTCCGTGCCGTCTTCCCAGAGCAGCATTTCTTCCCGCTCGGTTTCTCCCAGAGGGTTCCCTCCAGCCTTGCATCCCTTCTCGGAAGAAGAGCAGACGGGGCGGCACTGTTTTGGAGGGCGGGAGGGAGGGGGGGTGGCTTGGCTGCTCCTTGGCGCCTGCCTGGCCTGCACTTTCAGCTGGGGAGGGCGACCTGCAGCCCGCACTTGCCCACGGCCGGCCGGCCGGCCTTGATGTGGCCGCAAGCCCCGCCCACTTCCCCCAACCTTGCCCCAGAAAACCCCATTCTTCTGGCGCAGGTGGGAGCAGCGCTGGGGTGGGAGCCTGGCCGGAGCCATGGGCGCATTTAGCCTCCCTCCCCCGTCCGTGCAGCTCGGAACATGGTTTCCCTGTCGGTAATGTTCGCACGGACGTGTGCGCAAGCATTTGCATCCAGCTTTCCCCCAGAGCAAAAAAGGTGCGCATGCAGCCCGGGGCCAGCCAATGACCCACCCTGCCCAGGACTGTCCTCCTCGGCTCCCCTGCCCCGCGTGAACTGGTCAGAGGGTTAGAAACAGAGAATCAGAGTGAGTCAGAAGGGGGCTCCCAGGCCACCTAGTCTGACCCCGGCTCCAGCCGGCTCCGCTCAGGACATGCCCGCCATGTGCATGTCTCGGTTCTGCCACTGTAATCAAGCCTGTGATTTTCATGAGGCTGCCCAAAAGCCACCTCGCCCTCTCGGGAAGAGCAGCCCAGAAGAGCCCCGCTCCACGGCCGAGCCAAGCCAGCCAGCCTTGCTTTTCAAAGGGAAGTTCGGCTGTTCCTCTTTTGGCGGAGCAGCAAGAAATGGGAACTGGGCAAGTGAAAGCACGTTTCAGTTCCTTACTGGGAATTCCACAACGTCTCCAGTTCCCAGTTTTATCCATCAGCAGGGTCGAAACGCGGGGTAGGATGAGACACGTGGCTGTTTCTGCAGAGAGGGACGCCTTGCAAGTTCCTGGGGTGCAGGGAGGAGGGGGAGCGCTCTCGCCCCTTGACCCACGCAGGCTGCCCCTCTGCCCCCTAGAAAGAACACCGAGCTGGAGGGAGGGAGCGGGGGAGGCTGGCCTGGCGCCCTCCAGTGGCCACAGAAGAAGCGGCTGCAGGAAGCCTGCTTCCCTTCCGCCCTCGCTCTGCGCCAGCCGTGCTGCCGCACGCCTGGGGTACCCTCCTCTGGGTCAGAGGATGCGGAAACTCAGGCTGGGGGGCAAGCCCGGCCCCCCGTGGCCATGCCCCCCCTGCCGCCCGCCCCCAATACTGGCCCTTTGGCCCCAGCCCGGCTTTCGTGCAGCCCTTGCCCTGTGCCCGGCGCAGGAGGGCCTCTTCTGCAGCAGCGCCGCAGCATGACAAGCTGCAGGGCCCTCGAGTCGAGCCCCCTCCGGCTCGCTCCACCCTGCGGCCGGCCGGCCTCCAAACTGCCCGGTCTTCACAGCCCGCCCAGCTCTTGGCAACTCAAGGCGCCAGAGCCCTCGATGGAGCCGATCCATCCCCCGTGAGGCCCTCCTTCTGCCTTCGAGTTTGCCTAACACGACGGTCTTCCCCGCAGAGCTTGCCTTCCCGTGATGAGCCTGAAGAACCACGGCTCCAGTTTTGTGAGCTGTGATTCCAGGGCAAGCTCCGGCTTGTTCTGATCTAGGACCCCCTTGTCTGTCCGCCCGTCGGTCCACAAAGCCCTCCTCCAGCACCAGGTTTCGGATCGGCAGTCTCCTTCCAGCCCCCTCTCTTCACTCTGCAGCTTCCACACCCATCCACAGCGGGTGATCTTGGCCTTGGTCTCCAGTGGATGGTCTTCTCCAGTTCCTTCATTGCCGCCCTTCTGAGTCTCAGTCCTCTTGGGACTTCTTGGCTGCCGCCCCCTCTGAACGGGTGGCTGAGCCAAGGCGTCCAAATGCTTCCACAAGTTCGGTGCCTTCCCTGTGGACAGCAGAGTTGTCCAGGTCTTCCTAGTCGTGATTTTGGGGGCTTGAAATGCAGCTGCAGCCCTGCTTCTGCGAGCGATGAACACTGAATCCATTGCCGCTTTCCGCTCCGCCTGCATCTCCTCCTGCCTGGCGCATCTTCTGCCCATTTCACTCTGGCTTCCGCTGATCCTGATCCGGCGTTCCTTACGTCAGCGTGTACTTTGGGGCCTCGCCCCGGGGACCCTTAGGGCCACTCGCACCAGGGCTGTCAGCGGCAACTGAGAGCAGCTCAGGCAGAGCCGCCTTCCCCATCCCTGCCGCTGGCGATCCGCCTCCGGAGGTGCCAGCAGGGAGAAAGCGGGGGCTCTGCGCACGCCACGCATTGCACTTCCACGCGGCCTCAGACCGCCCCCCCACGCGTGCCCCGGCAGGGGGCCCCAGGAAGCGCAGCACGGTTGGCATACAGACTGCCCCGGGGGGGGGGGGGGCGCCGCTCGCAGGGCCAACGACTGAAAGGTCCCCCCGCCCTGGTTTTGTCCTCGGCAGATATCACTCACCCCATTCCCGACCTGACGGGCTTCATCACCGAAGGGCAAATCTATGTGGACAGGCAGCTCCACAACCGTCAGGTGAGTCCCCCACCTGGGGCCGGCCTTCCCCCTCTGGTCCTCCTGCTGCCGCTGCGCCTGCCCCCGGGCAGAGGGAGGTGGGGTTCCTCCTGAAGCCCTTCCCTAGGGCCGGCCCCGGCAGCATCTCCACCCAGGGCTCCGCACCCACGCCCTGCATTTCCACAGCAGGCGCGCTAATGCTTCTGTGTTCGCACGCTCCCTCGCCCACAGATCTACCCCCCCATCAACGTCCTCCCGTCCCTCTCCCGTCTCATGAAGTCCGCTATTGGAGAGGGCATGACCCGGAAGGACCACGGAGATGTTTCCAACCAGCTGGTAAGCTTTCTCGAGTCCCTGTGGACTCGTTTCAGTCGCTCAACAGGGATGAAAGTGACCCGCCCGTAATATAATGCACCGCACTCCTGTTGCCAAGGATGGGGAGGCATCGGACTGCACAGGAAGTTACTTCACACACACACGGTTAGCTTGTCTTTTGGTGAGCAGTTCACCTACTCTCCTGAAACACAAAAGCAGTCCTGGAAGTTTTCTGGCCACATCACCAGGCGCTGAGGATGGCCTGCCATCCGTGCTTCACGGTCGTTCCACCGGCAGGGGCTTTTGCATTCTCGTGGTCTTTCTTTCTCCGCTTGTTAAGTGAGTAATAAGAATTTCCAGAGGGCTGGCTGTGTTAGTCCGTTGCACCAAAAACGATGAAAACTCATGTGGCACCGTAAAGATTAACACATTTGCCATGGCAGACACTTTCCTTGACTAAAGTCTGTTTCAGCAGATGAGAACAGTGGTGTGCTGAGTTACCGAGGGAGAGAGAGGCCCGTGTTTGTGGTGGTGGTGGTGCTGAGATGCGGAATGCACGGATAGTGCTAAGTTGTCTGCGGCCGTCACACGTGCCTACCATTATTCCGATGCACTCCAAGTGCATTGTAGGCAGCACCAGAAGAGTTTCCGGCACATTTGAGGACCCGCTGCAGACTGCCCAGGGAGCCTCAGCCATGGGGTGGGATTGAAATGAAAATCATACAGATCACAACGAGAGCAGCGGCACTGCTTGTCTTGGGACCTTAGTGGGCTTGCTTTTTAACAGAAGGAGCTTTGGAAGGGAGAATTCAGTGCAGTGAGCTGGTGCAGCCCGGGGGACCATTCACACTTTCACTGTTTTGAATCACTCTCATCACAAATGTATAAACACTGCTTACAAACACACACACGCAAATAACGTTCAAAACTGCTTTACAGTGGGGCAATTGCTTTTCATGCAGAGCGTGTATATACTAGGCAAAAATGCAGTGCATGCATTAAAAGGAATATACACAAAAATCGACTCGTCTTGCAGACATTTAAAGAAGGCACCTTCTTGAGGGTCGGGATAAACCAGGCTTGAGGCTGGAGAAGCTCAGGGCAAGCCAAGCTTGAGATGGAGAAGTGGGACGCGGGGAGCAGCCCAGGTGGCTGGGGCAGCCGGTCTCCCTGGGGGCGGCTGCTTCCCGCCGTGGCCCGGGCAGGACTCTGAGCGCCCCCCCCCGTGCGTTTCTGCGCAGTACGCCTGCTACGCCATCGGCAAGGACGTCCAGGCCATGAAGGCGGTGGTCGGGGAGGAAGCCCTGTCGGCGGACGACCTCCTGTACCTGGAGTTCCTGCAGAAGTTTGAGAAGCAGTTCATTGCACAAGGTTGGTAGGGGGGGAAGCCACATCCGGCGAGCTCTGGCCTGGGGGGACCGTTTGCCCTCTGTGTGAGGCAATGAGACCAGGAAGACGCTGCCCCATGCCGCCCCACTGGCGGGCTTCCCTCAGGCAGCTGTTGGCCGCCATGGGACACAGCTTGGGCGGAGAAGGGCAGCTCGCAATGTCCTCACAGGCAAAGGAGCAAGCATTTAGCAGGATTCGCTTAATCTTGGGACATTTGGTAGACAGCCGTGCCAAAAAAAATGATTCATAGATGCAGAAACCACATGTGAGCCACCCCGACTTCCTGACAGTCGGGGCCCCCAGGGTGTGGAATGGACTTCCACGGGAGGCGGTTGAGGCCCCACCGGTGAGGGTGCTCAAGGACAGGCTGGACATGCACATGGCCAGGGGTCAGACTAGATGGCCCAAGAGGCCCCTTCTGACTCACTCTGTTTCTATGTTTCTCTTCTAGAAGTTTCTACTTCGATCTTGATATGCTTCCTAGCTCCTCCATGAGACACCGCAAAACCCCTGGAGCCTTGTTTGGCTGGGGATGTGAGGAATCGCTTTAGAGCATCAGTTTCTAAAACCTTCTGATATCATAGCACAAACTTCATCTGCAATGTTTAGGGGTGGTTTTGTAAACGTTCTTTCTAGATGTTCTGGGGCACAGAGACCCTTGTTATTTATCTGTCAATCATCTACTTCAGAATGTCAATTAGATACACCAGTGACATATTGTCTGTCTGTCCGTCTGTCTGTCTGTCTTATCCACTTATGAGATGGATTGATTCCATATAGGAAGCCGCAGCCTTGAGTTTAAAGGAGTGCTCATTCGTAGAGTTGCCAGAAGTCAGAGATGACTTGATGGCATGCACAACCTATGATACACCTTACGGGATGCGAGAAATGTAATTTGTGATGCCTGCTTCTTGCAGGGGCGTATGAGAATAGGACCGTCTTTGAGTCTCTGGACATCGGCTGGCAGCTGCTCCGGATCTTCCCCAAAGAGCTGCTGAAGCGGATCCCAGAGAACATCCTGGCAGAGTACTACCCGCGGGAGGCCAAGGAAGCCCAGGGCTCGGACACCGCCTTCTGAGTGCCCGACTGCCCAGAGCCTGGGCCGTCTGCACATGAGGGACCCCTGGCTGTGGGACCCCCAGGACAGATCGCAGCCCGCCGTGACCGGCATTCTCTTCAGCGGTCGCCGCATCTCACACAAACAAATACACATGCAAATAAATAAATCCTGTAGTTGGAATTGCTTGCTATCAGTAATAAAGGCTTCTCTACAGGAGACCCCACTGCGGTTTCTGTCTCTGGATTCGCAACGGGATTGGCTGGGTTTCCGAGTCCAGTTCGCCGGGCTTGGGGCCTGCTTAACCCGCTTTCCTGTATATTCCTTCGCACGACCACTAGGTGCTGCTGCAGCATAGTCAGGTTGTGAGAACGCGCAAGCTTCTCGGTGGGCTTTCCAGATGATGCCGCCGTTCCTCTGACCTCAGCAAAGGAGCCCCGCAGGATGGCAGCTTCGTGCAAGCGGCTGTGGGTGGAGAATCACAAGCGCCCAGCGAATGGCTTGTGTAGAAAGGCCTTGACCCTTAGCAGAGGGTATTCCAGCCCTTCAGGGTGGTGGGGGGAGGATTAAAGGGCAGGCAACAGCCAAGGGGCAAGTGCCAAGGACAGGCTGTGCGCCAAGGAAAGGGGCCAAGCCTGCAGGGCTGGCGGTCAGCGCTTCTGATGCATGAGGTGCCTGCTTGGGGGGCTGCCCCAAGCACGCCTGCTCAGCGGGATTTCTGCAGGAGGTGCTGAGGCAAGACCCGGGCCTCGCCTGGAACAGGCCTTGCAGAGCCGTGCAAGAAGCCGCTTGCGCAATGCAGGCGGGCGTGTGGCTTCGGTTCTTCGGGCGTTTAAGCAGACCGAAGCATCGTCTAAACCGCGCAATTAACCTTTGCCATGTCCCGGGCAGCCTGTGCCAGTCCGAACCCTGCACAACGGCAGATTTCCCTCGCAGCGGCACTGGGTGGGGGGTGCGATCGCTGCCCTGCTTGAGCCAGGAGAGCCCCCAGGTCCCTGCCCATGCACGCCTCGCCGCGCAGCCCCCCGCGGGCCCTGTCTCCGCGTGGCAGGCTTGCCCAAGGACAGAGGGAGTTTCACTTCATCTTTGCGCAGGGACGGCCCCGTCCTTCCTGCAAGGGAGCCAGTGCAAGGACTGGCGGGCAGGGAAGCTCCCCGCAGCCCCACTGCCAGCGCAGCCCCAGATGGAGCTTTCGGAGGGTGGATTCGGCCAGCTGGAAGGTAAGAGGAGGACCCTGCAGAGCGACCAGAGGACTTGAAGGAGAGACACTGCGGGAAGCGCTTCCCGGAGAGCCGGAGAACTGCCAGGCCGAGGGGTTTCCTGTTATTTGTATTGCATTGCTTTGCTTTGATTTATACCTAAACGATCTTGAATTTCCCTCCTGCTCTATTTACCCTCCCTCCTTTTTACACACGCACATGCAGTAATATAAATAAGCAGCTTCCAGGACCCACCCGCAGACACTTCCGTGTTCCCCTGCCCCAAGCGCCTCGTTGCCCGAGCTGCTTGCGCCAGCGTCTCCCCAACCCGCTTCTCTTGGGTCGGTGAGGAGGCACCGGTGGGCCGTACCCTCAGCTGCCCCACGGCACGAACCCAGAGCAGCTTCCCTGGAGCAGTTGCTCACGGGGGTGTTCCTGCGATGGGCCGCCATGTCGCTTGACCCCGCAGATGGACCCCTTTCGTGCGTGTGGGGGATCGCTTACAGAGCCTCACGGCCAGAATGGGGGGCGGGGGTGCCGCTCTTGTCACGGGGCTGCCGGGCAAGCACAAGTACCAGCCACCCCAAACGGCCCAGAGGCACTCGGGGGACCGGATCCTGCCGCATCCCGCCGCTGATGCGCTCTGAGACTCCTCCAACCTTCTTGTTTTCCCTTTTCTGGAGAGGGGGAGATCACAAAAACTGTCTTCCAGGCAAGCTCGTATGTGCCCCATTCTGAGTGCTCCTGGCAGTCCCTTAAAAAACCCAGAGGAAGATTGGAGGGGCAACCAGCCCTGTCCGATCATCCTCATCTGGACCCAGACTTTTCTTTCGAGGCAACAGAGAAGGGACAAATTCTGCTGTTCTGCGAGCATGCCAGAGGCCCCTCCCGGCTGCATACAAACATTTTCAAACATTGGGGAGCAGTTTTTAATTTCATTAGTGCACAAAGGCATGCAAAATGTATTATTTTAGGAAATAATTACCTGTAGCTGCACAAACAGACATTGGCAGTTCTGCAGGCAACATGCAAGGGGCTGCCCGCGGAAAAGTCCAGGGGGTGCCCACCCTGGCATTGCCCTCCTTGGCAACAGCTCAGGTGCCCCCCAGTCGGTTGTACCTGCCCGCTGCCAAAATGCAGACTGCTGCATGCAACCCATGGCGGGCGTGCGAAAGGGCTTTGGCGGGGATTTAAACTCCCTCTGCCCAGCAAGAGCCTCGGAGTCCCCCTCCACCCACCAGGGGAGCATTTACTAATTTGTCACAAGCCTCTAGGGACTCCAGGAACAGGAGAAAGTGCCTCCCGCCTTTTGCAAGGATCCGAGCTGCCGGCAGCACTCCGGGCCCCGGTAAAGAGGAGCTGGAGTGGGCACGGGGGGTTTCAGCACAGACCCGCCTAGGGAATGGGCCGCCGGGGGCCAAAAGTGCTCTTCTGGCAGCCCCAGTGTGTTCTGTAGGCTTGCAGGTCAGCAGGGAAGGCTCTTGGGTAGCTGCAGACAGAGGCCATGTGCTCAGAGGGCTACCTGAGGACAGGTGGAGACAAGTCCAGTGGTGGGCGGAGCTTGCAGCATCCCCCAAGCCTCATGGTCCTGAGGGCACCTGGAAATAGGCGGAGGGTTTCAGGTTCCCCCCGCATGGCACCCCTCCACCCTAACACTTTCGCTGGCCTCAATGGCCAGGTGCCCACCAAGGAAATCACAAATGGCGCAACAGACGTGGGAAGGATGCATTTCACTGAACTGATAAATGTGCGAAGAGAGACCAGGAGAAACGGTTGGAGTTGCCGCTGGAAGCATCCTCGATGTCAGAAAGAAACATTCGCTCCTGGTGTAACCTTGGGTGAAATGGAAGTTCAGGAGTGTTTGTGACGTTGGGCCCCGGTGCATTCAAAGCCCACACTGGCGGGACACGCTCCGCTCTGCTCCTCGACGGTGCAGCCCCCACCCAGACACCAGCTTCTGCAGGAAAGCACCCCATGATGCAGCGCATGCCAGCGTGAACTTTGCACTGGGCTACTGACCGGGAGAGTCGCGGCACCCCTGAACCCCCCGGCTCTGCAGCCAGGCCTGCCCTGCCGTGACCACTTTCCCTCTTCATCCCTCTGCAGCCATTTTGGAATCTAACAGCAGCCCAGATTCAGAGGAAGAGGAAGAGGACCAGGTACGTGGACCCACCAGGTGCACAGCCACTGATTCCAGGGGGGCATCTCCTGTTTCCAGGGTGGGAAGTACTTGGGAGCTGCTGGAACGGCCCCAGACCTAACCAGCATTTTTCCCCTCCGTCCTCCAGGAGGCAGCTCTTCTCCAGGAGAGGGAGGAGGTGGAGGAAAAGCTGCAGGAATATGAGCAAGGTAGGTCCTCCCCGCAGCTTGGCCCTTCCACCTGCTTTTGCAGGTGAAGAGTGTGGGGAAGCGAGGTGCGGGAGGGGGAGGCACAGGGGCCACACTGGGGTGGCTGGTATGAGCTGTGACTGGCAGCAGACTTCAGAAATAGAAGGAGTTAGTCCAGGCTGCCCTGGAAAAGTCAGCCCTGATGGGGCACTCGTAGCGCTGCTGGCGGTGCAGCCGGCAGTTCCCACTGCTCCTCCGTGGAGAAGGACCACCAGTGTCCGGAAGAGGCAGCGGCCCCTGGGAACACAGGGCCCCCTTCCAGACCAGATGCGAGAAGTTCCCGAAGCGGGGCCGAGGGCACCGTGATGCTGGACGCGCCTCGTGTAACATGCCTATAAACGCTTACAGTGTAAGGCTTGGTTGAAAAAGACATCATCTGTGGTCTGCTGGAATTTCTGATGTCGACTCGAGGGGGCATTCCTGGACCAAGCAAGATGTCCCAATTCTCTAGTCCCCAAAGTGTCGATATATTTTGAACCCCCGCTCTGGCTTCTTCCCCCCCTCACGGCCATGTCCTGCTACCGGCCAACCACAAAAGATACACACACGCTACTCTAGCACGGGAGGCAGTATGCCAGTGCCTGGGGCTTCCCGGGAGGACCTGGCTGGCCGCTGGACGAACCTCACGCAGGCCAGGCGGGCGATGGCCGGAGCGTGCGCCTCTCACGTCGCCCCTCTCCCTTCTGTCCCAGCTTCTCAGGCGGTGCTGGCAGAGCTCTCCCTGCTGGAGGCCGAATACGAAATCGAGAAGACGTGCCGCGAGCAGGCGGAAGCCTACGCAGCCCAGGTGCGCACCGCTCGGGGAAGGGCGAGGAGTGGGCTGTGGTGATGCGGAGCTGAACCGCCACCTTCCGCCCAGTTTAGTAACGGAGAACCAAGAAATCTGGTCCATGAGCCCCCACCCCGCCTCCCGGGCTTCGGGCTTCCGTCATGCTGTTCATCGCACTCACGGGAGCTCACACACCTGCCACGCCAGTGATCCGGGGTCTCGCTCCCCAATTTAGGGCACGTCCCTCATTGCACACGTAGGCAGCCGGGCTGGCCGAGAGCTGTAGGACTTTTCTCTCGCTGGGTGACGCACGTGGGAAATGGCCGCCCTTCTGTTTAAAAATGCCGATTGCCCCTTGGGGTACTCGTTCCACAAACCCAAAGCACTCCCAGGCAGCTGGCGGCAATTCTGCAAAAGCACAAACCCCTCGTGTGATGAATGGACAGGAAAGGCAAGGAAACCGCCAAGACTTGCATGAGTTTTTACTCTCTTCAACCTGCTGCATTTTAGCGCTTTGCGACAGGCTGGTTTTGACTCCGGCCTGATCCTGCGCTACTGCCCAGACTGAGCTTCCTCGTGCTGCGCCTTTGGTGGGTTTCGCTGCTATGGATTCCGGTTCCCTTTGATCCCAGCTAGCGGGGCCATGGTGGGCATTGCCGAAGCGACTCCGGGTGGAGAAGGCATGCTTGAAACATCCCGTGCCACGAGCTCAAGACCAGCGCAACCTGCTTCCAGGGCCTGGTGTGCGTGGCGGGATTCTGCATGGGAGCCGCTTCTGCAGGGCTGCGGCGGACGGCCCCAGGAGCAGTGCCCTGCAGCGGCCTCACCCGGAGGGGGGCAGGGTGTGGCTCACGGGGGCTGCGCCGCCCACCCGTTCAGCCGGACCCTCTCCCGCTAAGCCTTTGGCTTACCCCCAGCCCCACCGAGGGCTTAAGGACGTGGCAGCAGACACTCGCGCGGGTGCACCTGCGTCCTCCAGTAGGTGGGAGGGGAGGTCGAATCAGAGAAGGGAGGGCCAGAGGGGGCGCTCCAGCCCGCCGGTCCAGCCGCCGCTCAGTGCAGGGCTCCGTGTGCAGGATCTCTAGCTGATGACCGTCCGGCTGCCTCTTTGATGCCTCCGCTGTGAGGGAGCCCCCCCACCCCCCGAGATCGTGGGCTCTGTTGCCATCCTGCTCCCACAGCCAGGAGCTTCTTCCTGGTTTCTAGCCAGAAGCTGGGTTCCCGGGACTTGCGCCTGTGGTTCTCTGTCCTACTCTCCGGGAGGGATTGAGAGGAGATCCTGCCCTTCCTCGTTGGGACAGCCTTCCAAGAAAGGACTTGGAGCGGGCTGTGCTGCCTCCCCCAGCCTTCTTTGGCCCAGTTCTTCCAGTCTGTCCTTACAGGGCATTGCTTCTAGTCCCTCGATCATCCGTGTCGCCTCCCCTGCACCCTTCCCAGCTTGGCTGCATCTTAGACTGTGGTGCCAGAGCTGGGACACGGGGCTCTGGGTGAGCCCTACCAGCACCGAATAAAGGGGAACTGGTGCTTCACACGATTTGGAAGTGACGCTTCCTCTAATGCAGCCCAAAATAGCACTGGCCCTTTTGCAGCCACTTCCCGTCACTGACTCATAGTCCGCTTGCGATCTGCGACAATTCCAAGATCCTTCTCACTTTCAGGATCGTTGAAAGTGACGCCTTTGCAGTGACGCCTTTGCTTTCGTCTTCCCAGGTGCAGATCCTGGCGTTTCCGACTTGCCCTCTGTTCCTTTCAGCCCAGCTGTCCAGACCAGCCTGAATCTTCTCTCGGGCCTCCAGGGCCTGAGCTCCCCCGCCCAGCTTCTTGCCATCTGTAAATCTGATGACCGTTCCCTGCACTTCCTCATCCAGGCCCGTAACGAAAAGGCTGGTGGGCCCAGGGCCGGGGCCGAGCCCACTGGCCCCGCACTCGCTGCTTCTCGCCGCTTGGGGAAGGTGCCATCGATGAGCACCCGAGTCCGATTCTGTAGCCGGCTGTGGGTCCCCCGACTGCTGCTCCACCCAGCCCCCTCTGAGCCCCTTTCTCGACCCTCTGATGCAAGAGCAGGGGGAGTGAGACCCTCACTGTCCCAGCAGGAGGGCCCGGTGTGGCCAGCGGCAGCTTCTGGGGCCTCTGGCAAAGCGGGGCCAGTCTCCCCCTCTGCTCCCTGACCGCCAGGCTTGTGCTCCCCCGCTGGGCTGCAGCCCTTCCCCCAGACCGCGGGGCGCTCCGTCTCCCCCACAGCGCCAATCCCACCCTCAGACACACGTTGCCTCCGACAGAATCCCCATTTTCAATTTGTGAGGAAATAAAAACTTGGGTCTGTGGGAAAAATCAAACATTTTAACCTCTGTGGCATTATTGATTGGTGGCCCGGTACCTGCAGTCACGACCAATAATGCATTACCAGGTAGAGGCAAACTCAATGGCAAAATCTCAGCCCATGTACAGACACTTTTATTGCCTGCTGGTCACATACAGCAATACAGAGTGTCAAGTTTCCAGATCATGCTGGTACAAGGGCATCCGGATGTCTTCAGGCATGACGTGAAATACTGGTAACAACAGCATGGGAAACATGACTGATTGCTGTACTGATGGGTCAGTCCAGCAAATTCTTGACAGTTCAGATGTTCAAACATGCAAATGTGTCTGATGGAGGAGCCATTCAGGAAATCTGGCTTGACAACCACACTCAGCAGGGGCTTGCCTCTGAGGGACTAGCTGCTTAGAAAGAAATGGACAGCATGGTTGAGTTTCTCTGATGAGAACGCACTCACTCATAGTATGAGGCTCCAGAAGCTTCTCAGTCCAGCTTCTTAAGGCAGCAGCAACGCCAAACAGCAACCTGGCTGGGATTTTGCTTCCTTGTGAGAAAGGGGCCTAGATTTTATTTTATAACACAAGGGCGCATATAAGCACCAAATAATTTCCCAACACCACCTCTTGTCCTTGTGTCTGGATGCCTGCAGGTGAGTGCCGAGAACCACAAGCTGAAGCGGATCAGCGTGGCTTTTGCCGCCCGTGCTTTGCTGCCCGGGGACCTCCTGGGCCGTGGTGAAGCGGAGGAACCCACTGCCGAAGCAGCCGAGGGTCCGGTGGATCCGTACGTGCAGCTGGTCAAAGGTGGGTGCGCAGTGCCGCCCCCTGCTGCTCCAGGGGAATGCGGGCGCCTCCGGTGGGCGAAGGCTCTTCTGGGGAGCCGGGACGGGACGGGCCCTGCTCTCACCCTTCCCCTTCCCTGCTTTTGCCGCAGCCCTCCAAGGCAAGATTTCCCAGCTGCTGGGCGAGAAGGAGGAGCTGAGCATGCGAGTGAGGCAGCTCCAGGAGCAGGTACGGTTCTTCCCCGGGGGAAGGAGCCACTGGCAGGCTCCAGGAGGAGGGCTGGGGGTGGGGGGGGGGGCCGTGTGCTCGCCTCGGCTTCTTCCCACTCGCCCACTGGGAAGGCCTGGAGCGGCAGGGACCCGGCTCTTGCCTCGCTGCGCAGCACATGCCTCGCTGCAGCTCACGGGCTCCGGGAAGCGCTGCCCTGCTGGGAGCCCGGAAAGAGCAGAGCAAGAGCCGAGAAGGAGGGCGTCTTCCTCGGAGAATCTCCCGTGCCTCCGGCGGGATCGCTTCCCACGTGCGCTGGGTGGGAAAGGGCGCGCCCCCTCTGCCCGGGGTCTAGGGGAGCCTCTCCCTGTCAGAGCAGGCTGTGCAGGGCTGGGGGGCGGATGAGTGCAGTCAAGCCGCCTCCCGCGTTGTGCCTGATCACTGCAAACAAGCAGCCTAGCCGTTCAAAGCTCGGAGCAGTGGAGCCACGAGCCGTGGGACCCCGAGAGCCAGAGGGCCGCCCAGCCCAGCATGCTGTTCGTGCGGCGGCCGACCGCCTGCCCCAAGGGACGCCCCTCAGCGAGGCAGGAGTGCACCCGCACCTCCCACCCCCGTTCTCTGGCACTAGGGGCGCTAAGGACCGGCAGCCACCCTGGCCTCCTGCTCCGTGGCTATCAGTGTCCAAATAGGTGGCCATCAGGACGTCCTGTGCAAGGGAATCCCGCAGTTTAGCTCGGTGGGATTATTTTGGGACGAGAGGCGGAATGTCCCTGCACTCCTCCGCCCAGTCCCGGTTGCAGGAACACGGTCATGGCAAAGTCCAGAGCAAAGCATTCGCTGCCCTTTTACGAGAGCCCAAGCCTCTGCGGAGGCAGCTGCCCCACCCCACCCGACAGCGGGGCCGGCCCTGCCCAGCCTCTGCCCAGACTCCCTCCCGCACCGCTTTTCCACGCTGAACCGTCCCAGCTCTCGCCACCCGTGCTCGCAGGCGAGCTGCTGCAGCCACCGGGGCAGCTTAAGGGGACCTTTCCGCATCCCCAGCATCCTTTGTGCAGGTGCGGGATTCCAGATGGGGTCACACGATGGATTTGCATAAGGGCAGCGTGCGCCTGGCAGCTCCATTCTCAGCGTCTGCCCTACAGCTGCCAGTCATGGAATTCGCTTCCTGGAAATGGCTGCAGGCTCAGTGGGCACGTGGATCAAACTGCCCAGGACCTCCCTGAGGCCGGGTCAAAGGGCAGCCCGTGGCCGGAAGGACGCTGCGGCCACCGTCACCCGGCGCAGCCTGGCCACAAAGCGCCACTGCTCCCGCCTTGAGGGGAGACGGGCGAGGAGTGCTGAGGGCGTGCTCTGCCAAGGCAGGCGATGCCCACGCGCAGGCCGTTCGGTTTTTTTAACCCCTTTGGATGCAGCTGGAAGAGGAACGGTCTGAGAAGCAGGCCCTGCAAGGCCTGGTGAGGCGAGGCCAGGAGGCGGTGAGGAATTTCAAAGAAGGTGAGTCGGCGAGGGGACGCCAGTTACGCAGGCGCCACACCTGTGAGCCGCGTCTGGGAGGGCCTCCTTGCTCTACAACCTGAAGTGATTCATTCATGGGCCACGGTGTAGATCTCGGAGAAACACATGTGGACCCTCTAGGATGGAATCTGGGCCACTTATCTTGCAGGAGACTCAAAGTGGGAAGCCCACCCAGCCGCAAACAGCCCGAACGTAAAAGCCTTGACATTGTTCAAGGACAGGCTGGATGTGCACATGGCGGGCATGTCGTGAGTGGAGCCGGCTGGTGCTGGAGGTCAGACTAGATGGCCCGGGAGGCCCCTCCTGACTCTCTCTGTTTCTATGTTTCTAAGAAAGGGCTAAAGTTTTGCACAAGCGAGTCACCAGGAAGTGAAGGCCAGCTCAGGATGGGAGGGAGCTGCAGCTGCAGGAGCAGGCAGTGGGGGGGGGGACAGCTGGGTTGATGGGGGCCCTCCAGCAGCCACAAGAGGCGGACGGAAAGGCCACGCGCAGAGGCCGTCCGTCCCTCCAAACCAGCTGCCGGGGGCAGGCACGCGGCAGGTGCGTCCTGTGGGCTTCTTGCCGGGCTTCCCTGCTGCATCGCGCTGACCACCGTTGGAGACGTGGCACTGGGTTTCACGAGCCCCCGTTCCAGTCCAGCCGAGCTCGTCTGTTCTTTGGTGGGAAGCCCCCGAGAGGCATGCGAGGGCCACTGCTGGGGAGTCACCTTTCCCACCACCCTGGGCACAAGCCGCACCCCCAGCTCCTCCTCTGCAGGGCTGCCGCTCGCTCGCCTGGCGGGCCGAGAGCACGGCAGCAAGGGGGCCGCCTCATCTGCCTCCTCCCTCCCTCCTGGCACCGCTGGATTTGGGGCCAGAGCGAGAGGCAGGGGAGGAGTGGGAGAGAGAACAGCACCTCCGGGGTCCTTGTTGGGGGGGTGACCTTCCGCTGAGCCTGGCAGCACCCCGCTCCCCCCCCCCCGGGGAACCGGCATTCCGGACCTGCTGCCTCGGCTCCTGGAGCTGCCACCCCAGGCAGGAGCTACGGCTCCTCCGGGGACCTGCTCAGTTTCCTCTTCACCCGTCTGGGTGGATGGCCACCCGCGTCTTGGGGCAGCCCCTCGTGCAGAGATGGAGCCAGCCGAGTCCAAGAGGTCCCGACCCCGCAGAGCACAGCGAGGAGCCCCCCCCCGACTCACAAGCAGCCCCTTGGGCTGGAGTGGCAAGCAGGGCCGGCCTCCGTGAGGGCATGTGGCCACGGAGGCCCCCCCGCCCTGCCGCCGGCTTGTGGACGCCATCTCTTCTTCGGCACCCCAGCGGTCCGCCTGGTCACCAAGGAGTACGGGAAGGTGTCACAGCAGCTGGGCCTGGAGGAGGAGCTGAGGCAGCAAGCAGAGGTCTTCGCCCGCCAGGTAGGGCTTCCGGCACCACTGCCCCGTTACCTCTGCGGTTCTGTGCTGCCCCATGGCCGCATCTCTCCGGGCCGTTTTTAGCAAGGGTGCTGCATGGGGGCAAGGGACAACCGCTTCGCTCCGCGCTCCCAAGCAAGCGAGAGCACAACCGCCCGGGAGAGCCGAGGGGGCGGAAAGGAAGGGCAGGCGATGCTCCAGGCGCTCCCCCAGCGTCTCACTCCGTGCTGAGAGGCGGGAGGTGCTGGCAGGGGAAGACCTGCGTTTCCCAGCCAGCAGAGAAAGGATGCCTGCGGTGGGCAGGGAGCGGGCGATCCCCTTCCGGCAGAGCCCGCTCGGGAAACTGTCCCGCTGTGCCCATAAGGGGAGCCCGGCCGCGCCAGGCCTCCGGGGCTCGGTTTGCCCCGTGGCCCAGCTGCAGTCTGTGGGAAGCCACGGCACACCCCTGCCCATGTGCCCCGGCAGACCTCGGCAGACTGCCTCTGTGCCGGGAGGCAGCACAGAGCTGTCAGGACTAGGAGAGGAGCCGTTGCTGGCCGCCTCCTCCTCCGTGAATGCAGACGGGCCTCTTTTGGAAGGGCGGGCAGCCCCGCAGCCTCCCTCCAGAGGGCAGCCCTGCCCTGCCCAGCCTGAGGCCAAAGCCCTCCGTGCTGTGTGCCCTCGGCGGCTGCCGGCTGAGCAGGAGGAGCCCGGCCGACTCGCTCTGTCTCCGGCACTCTGCCACGATCTCCGCAGCTCTGCTTAAACCTTGACGGCGATTCTCCGCACCCGGGCCTCTCTGTGGGCGAAGTAGCACGGGAGATCTGCAAAGCAGTGCGTGTCTTTGGGTTGAGAAATGTGGCCCACCTCAGCACCCACGCCCTCCCAGCCCCCCAACCCCCCAAACAGCGGCCGAAAGGCCCCCGACCCTGACGGAAGCCCGCGCTTGGTGGTCACCGGAGCCATCCTGAGTGCCGCATTCTTGGCCCCCTTGCTGCTTTGAAGGAAGCCGGAGAGGCAGTGCTCCAGGCCTGGGGGCCCGGGGCGCGTGAACGTGGGGGTGGAGCTCTGCGTGCCCCACGGAAGCGTGTGTGACCGGGCCGGCTTCACACGGGGGTGCCTGGCAGAGGGCAAGGGCTGCCCTGGGGTTGCTGCCACCGAGCGCCCCCACCCGCGTCCCACAGATGCTGGTGAAGCAGGAGGAGGCCAACCGGCAGAGCACGATCCTGATGCAGAACGTGGGGCCCGACCTGCAGCTCCTCCGGGCCCTGGACGAGGTGGCCACGGCGACCCGGGCGCTGGAAGAGGCCAAGCAGGCGCACCAGGAGAAGGCAAGCCGCTGGATCCTTCCTCCCCAGCGTCTCGGCGGGGACCGAGCGTTCCACTCCCCTCTCCAGAGTGGCATCTGGGCTGAGCAGGAAGGGGCACATGGAGTCCCCAGGGGGGAAGGGGGGCTCCCCCAGGAGAGGAGGAGGAGCAGGGGGCAAAAGTCTGACCTGGACTGCGATGCCACTGGACGCAGACCCTAGGGAATTTGCGGCCCGTGCAGGCAACTGGGACTGTTCTGCTCCTGTGTCTGAAAACGGGACCCCCGGAAGGCATCTGCCCCGGCAGTCTCGGGACACGCCCTGCTGCAGCTGCCCCCGTTCCCCAGGCATCTGCTGCTGCCCCAGCACCTGGAGGGGGTTCTCCCCCAGTGCAAGTGGCGCCTTTGAACAGGCGTGATGCCCCGAGAGCCTGGCTCAGGCCAAGTCAGGCGCTTGCCCCCGGGTGCAGGGGGCTGCTTCCCAAGCGTGGCAGGGACTACGGCCCACAGGCCTGTGCCCCACAGCAGCACGGCCGCCAGAACACCCCCTCCCCCCGGCACGGGGCTCCTCCTGCCCCAGCGTCCCACCTCCCATGGGAACGACCCACGAGCAGCAGGGCCAAAGGGCCACCGGGATGCCGAGCGGGAAACCTCCGCGGCCGACAGCTTGTCCGCGGGTCTTCCTTCGATTCTGACAAGCTTCCCCGATCTCCTCGGTGCGGCAGTGCGTGCAAAACACCGGCACGTGCTGCGCGAAGGACGCCGTGTGGTCGCCCACCCAGCCCTCCAGCCACCCGCCCCACTGACTAATGCTGCATCCGAGGGGGCACGTAAGCGAGCAGAGGACGCCCGCCCCCGCCTCCCGGGCTCCCCGGCGTGCCAAGGGGAAGGGCTTTCCCTCTGGCTTCAGGTCCCCTCTGGCCATCCAGGTGAAGGATCTGGAGGCCCAGTTAGCCGAGCGGCCGCAGCGGGAAGAACTGTGTCGGCTCCAGGCGGCCCTGGCTGCAGCGGAGGAGGAGAAAGCGTGCCTGGAGGAGCGATTGCTCCAGTTGGAGGAGAGAAAGGCCGCGCTGGAGCAGAGAGGTGCGATGCTTTAGATGCGCTTGCCGGAACCTTCCTTTTTGTTCCTGGAAGCTGCGGGGCCGGACCTGGCACACACGGGGAATCCACCCCTGCTGGGACCCCGGCCCGGCCCGGCTGCCGGAGGGCCACGCAGAGGCCGTGCCACGGTGCAGAGAGGCGTCAGTCACGCAGCTTGCGGAAGCCAGCTTTCCCCAGACAGCATGCGGGTGGCCTGGTGCGGAATAGGCCGGGGTGCGGAAAAAACGAGCCAAGGCTTCGCCATAAGTGGCGGCTGCAAGCCTGACACTGTGAGAACAGCCTTAGACAAGGCAGGATCTGGCCCGGAATCCAGGCCACACGTCTCGCTTCCCCGTCCCGGGAGGTCTGTGCTTTGCAGGTGCGCTCCTAGAGATGCCAGCTGCTTACCTGTCCTCCGGGTTCTTCTCCTTGCGTTGTCCTAATCTCATTTGACCCCGTTGCTTTATTCTCCGGTGCCTCTAGCAAACGGTGCCCCTGAGCCCCTGCCCCCCCCCCCCCCCCCCGCTCCTCTAAACTGGGTACGTGACTGAAAGGTTAGGAAGCGCCTTGTGCCGTCCTCGTCGCTGCGGTCCGCTCTCTGCATGCCACATGAATTTCCTGCATGTCTGAATAAACCATCGATGTTCTTTTGACCGCACATGGCAGTGGACTCTCCAAGGGTCTTTTTTCACTCCTGTCAGTGGCTTGCTAATTTGCAAAAGGACACACACAGAGGGAATGACAGAAGTGCAGGCTGGCGGGTGTCGCTCTGGCCTCTCCCTGGAAGCCGTGATTCAGAGGGCAGTGGGCCGGGGGATGTTCGCTTTTAAGAATACCTGCCCGCCCACCCCTTTGTTCGTCCCTTGCTGGCTCCGTTTGCAGGGCAACTTTTCGGAAAAGCACAGGACAGGGGAAGGGACCGGCCACCCCCGCTGGCCCCCCGACCCGACCCGAGCACGGCAAGGCCTTGCTGTAAAAGTGTTCCTTTGCCGTCACCCCGGCTGCCGGGATTTCGGCCTCCCTGGCCAGCCCTTCCTTCCCGGTGACCTGCGACTGCTCCCTGCCCCAGACCAGCTCCCTGTCAGTTCTGATCCTCGGCACAGAAGCGCTCGCCCGTCTCTGCCACCTCGTTCCGAGACTGTGCCATTTTCGTTGCAGTGAAATCCCTGGAAGAGAAGGCGAAGGTGACGGAAGAGGCCCCGGCTCCCAAGGAAGCCCCCTTGCCTCCCCCTCCGCCCCCCCCTCCGCTGCCTCCACCAACCTGCACGGCTCACGTGGAGTAAGTGTCGCACAGCACAAGACTGCAGAGTGCAGACTTCCAAAATCCGCAACTTCACGATGCTCGCTCGGCACGCCTGCCGAGAGATTGCCGTCTCCCCTTGTCCCCGTGGGCGGGGGGCGGGGGGTAAGTGGACGCGGAGGTTTCGTCTAAGCCAGCCTTCGGGCCTTCGGGCTCTGGAATGGTGACGAGGGGACTTCCTACGACCGGCGGCTGCTTTTTGCAGATCTTCAGGCGCCTTTGCTCCATCTGCACTCACTAACGGTCAGATTTTGTGCAAAGGGCTGGTGTGCCTTTCTGCACGCTTGTGCATATTTGCACTTCCAGAAATGTGCCAACCCCCTCCATACACAAGCCACCTCAAAATGGGTACACTCACGGTGTGCCACAGGGGCCAGTGCGCATTTTCATTAGCGTTGTTCTCTTTTGTAAATTCTTCTGCAACTAAAATTTGCATCCAGTTCTGGAAAGTAAACGAAAACTGTGGCCTGTACATCCACGATATTCTTTTGAGATGGGAAAAGCGGTCTGCTCCGGAGTCTGCGGGTCGGTTTCGCGGGAGTCCAAACTTCCCTGGGGCTGCTGCGGATTTCTCTGGGTCACGTCCTGCAGGGACCGTCCGCAGCCTTTTGCCCCGCGCTCGCCAACGGAGCCGGTGCGCCGCTCTCAGGCGGCTGTGAGAGGAGCCAAGGCTGAGCTGCCCTCAGCCACGTGCCTGCCATGTTCCGCGCCACCGGAGCGCCCGGCTGGGGCCTCGAGGCAGGCCCCGGAGCACAACTGGGCCCCAGGCTTGGGAGCAGCATCCAGCTGGCCTGCCCACCCGGCTCCCTGGGGCTTCCCAGAGGGCCATGCCCTTCCTCTCCCCCCTTCCCCCATCTGGGGATGGGCTCCTGGATATTGTGCATTGCCTTCCCATCCTAAAGCACTCAGATGTCTCTCCCAAGGCATGTTCCTGGCAGGAAGAGCCTTGGTGCCAGTGCCCCGCCGTGCAGGCATTTGGGCACCGTGCCTGGCGCCTCTGCCGTGGCCCCCCAGAGCATCGCCGAAACAGAATCGGCCCTCAGCTGAGGGAGGTGCGATGGGGCCCAAGCCCCATGGGGCACAGTGGCGGCGAGGGTCACCGGGGCCAGGGCTGAGCGTTCCGGGCACGGGCCTCCCAGCCCAAAGCGGGAGGCGCCGTCCCGCCCAGCCCTTCTCCAGGCATCCAGAGCAAGGCCACTTTCCAAGTGCCGCTTTCCCCCTGCAGCCCTCGGCCCACAGCCACGCTTCCGCAGAGCAGCCGTGCCCGCCTTGCCTGGACTCGCTTCCGATCCCTTCTCACCATCATTCAGGTCCTTACATCCTGCCCCACCCCACTGGCTCTGGGCGGGGTGATGCATGGTCTAATTTCTGTGCATGCCAGTGGCCCGCCCCAGTCCAGGAGGGGGACAAACCCACCGCCAAGCTGGAGAAGCCTCCAAGGCGTCATCCCTTGCCCCGCAGAGTGCCCAGCGAGGCCCCCTTGCTGGACCGTACCAGGTCAGAATGTGGGTGGGCATGTCCCCCCCCCGCCCACGTACGGAGCAGCACGCGGATGCTTTGCAAGTCAGAGAGACGGAAAAGCTGGGGCTACATCAGAGTAGTTGCCAGTGCGTTCTCCCCCCCACCCCAAGTGGTATAGCCTACCAAGAGCTGTACCACATGGGCTTGAAAGCAGTGTCGCTTGGCGCATACACGCCGAGCAACACGCCAGAGAGAGCGCAGGACTGTCAGAAAAGGGAGTGGAGAGGCAGAGCAAGGCTGGGACAAGGAAGGGGGCAAGTGGGAGAAACCGTGGGGCAGGGAGGGTGGGAGTGGGGAGGCCGGGGGAGCAGGGAGGGCAGTCTCTGTGAGGGGGAGAGGTCTGGCTGGCCAGAAAGCGCCCCTCCGCTTCCCCCTCCCTCCCAGCCTCAGGCCCCGCTCTTGCTCTCCCCTGCGCCTCCCCAGGCCAGCCAGGCCCCCAGGCAGCCCCAGCATGGCCAGCCAGGCCCCCGTGGGAGCCGCTCTGTGGCAGCGCCCACAGCAGTCTCCAGCACCCCCCGCCCCCTGTGCTCACAAGTCCGGGAGGGCTGCCGGACCCTGGCACTGACGTGTCCTGGGAAGCTGCTGCCGGTCAGAGCAGGCAGTGCTGGGCTCCAAGCTGGGGAAAGGGAGAGCGACCATGGGGGGCACCAGACCCACAGTGCCGCACGCAGCCAAAACCTGACCCTTCTTGTTCCTCTGCAGCCCCCTGACGGCCATCCGACAGCGGAAGGGAGTGCGGCCAGTGAAGCAGGGTAAGTGGAGGAGGGCTCGAGGAGGGAGCTCAGCACACGCAGGCTCAGCACCGAGCTCAGAGAGCAAGGATGGGACCTCGGTGGCCAGGCCAGGTCGCTTCTGTGCGCTGCATGGCCGGCTCTGGCCGTCCTCATCCGGCTGGGCATGTTGCCGTCACGCATCGCCCACCCGGTGCTCGCATGTGTTGCACTGCAACACACATCCTCCCCAGCCGGCCACCGTGGGCCCTGGGGTGGGGTGGCTGATGCACGGGGAGTGGGGCAGGGCATGGGGAGGGACACGACGGGCCGCGTGGTGGGGCCACTTAGTCTGGAATAGAAATGACTCGGGTGGCTTGCGGAACAGGGCTTTGCAAGAGCCGGGCTTAGGGCATGCGTGGGGGGGGAGGGGGGCAGTTCCCCCTCATGTCAAACTTGGGTCCCTCCCATGCAACGGATTGAGGGTGGATTCGGCACAGCCCCAAGGGAGCCCTGCTTCGAGCAAAGTGAAGCACCGGACGATGCTGGGGAGCTTAGCTGGCGCCAAGGGCCGATTGCCCCGCTTCTCGGCAAAGCCGCTGCCTGGTGGCCCCACAGGCCTTCGGGGGGAGTGCGCCACCAACCCCCTCTGTGCTCAGCTGCACTGAAGCTTTGCTGGGCCGCCGTGGGACCCGAGATGGGGCCGAACCAGCTTTTGGGGTGCTTTAAAAGCAGGTCTCTTGTTCATCTGTTTGTCTGTCTTGGATTCTTTGGGGAACCTGCTAGGGCAGAAAAGGTGATCAGCTGTTACCTGATCCACCAAATGTGTCTTTTACTTTTAAAAAACGGTCTGGATCCTGAGATAAACAGGCCTGGGCTATTGGGGGGCTCGGGATGTCAGGATGCGTTCAGTTTGCCCGTTCTGGACACAGCACTTGCCCCGAGTTCTGCCCCTCGTCCAGGAGGGATCAGGGAAGATGCTGGACTCAGCCGCATGAATACACCACGTGTCTAGCACCTGGAGGGCCGCCCCCCCCAGCCCGAGCGGGGAGCTGTGGGGGCTGGCGGAGGGCACAGCACTGAGCTGCCCCGCTTTCCCCAGGGGCAAGCAAGCCTGGCCTGGACGAGGTGAAGGCCAGAGCAGTGGACGAGATGATCGCCCGCATCAAGAGCGGGGTGGCGCTGCGCCCCGTGGGGAGCAAGGTGGGTGCCTTCTCCAGACAGGTGGGAGGCCGGGGAACCGCCACGGCCGTCTCGCTGGGCTCGGAGACACCGCTCAAGCCCTCCTGGCGCGGATGAGGCTCTGCTGGCAATGCCACTCCTGCCCAGACAGGGCGTGGAAGCCGCTTCCAGCGCTTTGCCCAGCCTGGCGCCTCCCGAATGCTGTGGACGGGACCTCATCCGCTGCCAGCGTGGCGGTGGGAGCCCTGGCTGGGGATGGTGGGAACTCGGGGCGCCATGTTAGGGATGGCAAAATGGGTTAAGCAAAGGAGGGAGGGAGGGAGGGCAGACGGACTCTGTGCCAGCCAACTGACCTTAAAGCAGAGGCGCTGCAACCTTTCAAGGGGAGTGGGAAAATTCTGCAACAGCCAGGCACTAGGGGAAAGGGAGCGCCAGAGGGCTGGACTGGGGCAGATTTGCCCTGGGGGCCTGAGATTCTGCCCCAGGTTTGCAGCGGGGGAGGACCAAACGCTGTCTAACAGATGCTCCTGCCGTCTCCTCCCAAGCGATCGTCTGCTGCGTCGACCAAGCGAAGAAGCGCAGCGCTGGAGCTCCAGAGCCTCCTGGTAGGTGCGCTGGGAAGCCCCCCCGCCCCCCGCAAGAGCAGCTGCAGTGCCTGCTGGGCCCTCCTGCTGGGTGGTGCCTCTAGGATGCCTGGGCGGCCGCTGGCCAGTTCCCAGCATGCCTTTACACTGCAGGGCACCCTGGGAGCTGTGGGGGGGGGGGAAGCAGCCCCTTCTGCTGCCATGTGGCCAGAGGACCCACCCAGCCACCCTTGAAACCCTCTGAAACCCGTCTTCCGCTTCCGGTGGCACAGCCAGGCCAGCCAGAGAGGGCCGGGGCGGGGGAAAGCGCTCGGGCTGCTGGCCCCGGGCAGCTGGGAGGGCAGCAGGAGAGCCTCTCCCGGCACTTGAAAACTAAGTGGAGCGAAATGGGAAGTGGATCGGCAAGGACAGGGCGCACAGCGACACGCCCCACTGCAGGGCCATCCACCACATGGCCCACTGGGGCCTGGACGGCCCCTCTGTGTTGGAAGGGGCACAGCCGAGCCCTCGCCGCCAAAGGGTTCTCCTGCGCGCACGGAGCATCCAGGCGTCATTCACCGGGCAGTCAGGCGGGGTGCTTCGGGATCACTCTTCCATGGCTCGTTACAGAGCGGTTGCTGTTGGGTGTCTTCGCCTGCCGCTTGAAGCCCTTCGGTGCCTTCCCGTGGTTTCTTCCATGGTTTTCTTACCAGAAAAATACGAAAGCCAGAGGAAGTTGCGCAACGCCTTTGGGGTCTGAGCAGTAGCTAGTGGCCAGCGTCTGGAACAGTCCAGATCACTGTGCAGAGGAGCGCAATTCCCAAAATCCTGCAGAGGTGCCCCGAAATATTTGGAGCAGCTTGAGATAATTGGCATTCTTCAAGGAAACGACCAGTGCTTGTTTAATGGAATATTAATTTCCAAAAAGATGAATGGGAAAATCACTGTTGACATATGTAAAGCAAAACTGCTCCCCTCAAAGTGCACTTTAGACCGCCACCATTTTAATTCAAATCGCCTTCCACCGATTAATTGTGCCCGATCGGTTCTGACAGTCTGTCAAGCCGAATAAACCTTTAAGGCTAAATATTTTGAAGCAAAGTCCCGATTCATGCAGGTGAGCTTGGTTGCTTCCAGACAGAAGGAACCTGGTGCTGAGAATGCACAGGCGTCATTGCTACGCAGCGCTTGCGTCCTTTTCCCAGAACTAATTCTCCGCCGGACTGAGGGGTAGCCTGAGTGTGCGAACGAGCCACTCCAGGTGCCCGTCCCACAGACGGGGCTTCTGCCGTACCCAAAACACACCGCTGCTCCACTCAGCCTGTTCACACCTTCAGCCGCCAGGTGCCAGGTGCAGAGAAATAGACGCGCTGCGATGCAGTGTGAGGAGAAGCAATAGAGGTGTGGCGGGTCACACCTTCCTCGTGGCTCGTCTTGCACCGCAGCACAAGATGGCCTTCGGACCTTTGGACGGGGCATCCTGCCCTTGAGCAGAGGACTTCAGACTCACCGGCACCTGCTCCACCCCTTCCCGTTTCTCTCCTGCCTAGAGCACTAAAACGGGGCTGGCCAGGAGACCAACCCGGCAGAGGCGCAGCCAGAAGAACAACCTTGCAAGCAACCAGCTGGCCTCCATCCTGCAGAGGCGCCGGCGCATCGTTGACTGCCCCGCCGAGGCTCAGGCCCCGCAGAAGCCGTCTGCCACGGCCACAGGATGCCAGCCAGCCACCGACGCCCAGGGGACCGAGGTGGGGGGCGCCCGCTGCTCCCCAGAGCCAGAGCCAGTGAGGAAGCCTCATGCCCATCTGCAGAGCTCCACGAGCCCCGGCACGTGTCTGCCAGGTAGGGAGCTTTCCTGCCGTGGCTTTTATAATGCGCCAGGCTATCTATCCGGTGTTCATTTCATGCCACTTCTGTGCTGCCTTATAACCCGAGGGTCGCAGTTGCGCCTGCTTTCTGGGGGCAGCCCCCTACGCAGTCTCTACCTGGAGACCCACAGAAAGCCATGCATCAACCCCAGGACCCTCTCGCAACAGGTGCGCAAGACCCCCGGTTGGGTAAGAGCAGCCGTACGTTGCCAGTGCCAGAAGGGGCTTTGCAGCCCACTGCCCCTAAGCGCAGCCCAGTGCAGGAAATGCAGAAATGCAGCGGCCCGGCCCACGGGGCTCGGCTTGCTTCGCTGCCACGCACGGTGCGAACGGCGCACCTCGGAACTGCTTGCGGCTGCAACTCGTGCGACGCACACACTTGTCCGCTTGATTCCTCAGGTGACCCCGACAGGCCTGCAGCGGAGGGCCCCCCACATCCGGGAGAGAAGCGCTGCGCCGTGTCCGGGCCCCAGAAGAGAGCAGCCTCTCTTCAGGTGAGCAGGAGGGTCCAGCCCAGCGCAGGGGCCCACGCCGAGGAAAAGCAGGGCAGCTCAAGCGCCTACCTGGCTCGCAGGAGCACATCCCACGCCACCTGGGAATGACGAAGGGGTGAGGACAAGCACAGTGGCGACACGGGGCCCATCGCCACACCTTCTGCGGCCTCCAGCGCTCGGTTCCCTGGGCCTCGCATTGCCAGGTCATTGCAATGGGGCAGCACCGGAGAACTGGCATTGCCTTAGTCTGGAGCAGTCGGCTCCCTTGATGGACACAGGCCTTCAAAACCACATGCAGCGGCTATAAACAGGCAGGCAACAGTGCAACCTTTGGCGAGCCGGCTGGAGCCGGGGGTCAGACTAGATGGCCCGGGAGCCCCCTTCTCTGTTTCTGTGTTTCTATCTCACAGCTGCTCCACTTGATGCAAAAAGCCTGTGCCTGTTGAGAAAGGGATGAGACAACCTTGCACTTCCTGGCTGCATCCGGGTAGGCTGGGGACAAGAAAACGGGGTCTGTAACAGGTAGCAACCTTCTTTATGATCTTGGGACACCAGTGCAAAGTAACCAAAGACACACTACTGGAGATCAGATCTTGGGTTAGCTGTCAACTGTAACCTCATTAACTCCGGAAAGCATTTGAGGGAAATAGCCTAATGCCTCTGGTATAGCCATAAATCACAGGTGCTGGAGGGGAAAATACTTAACTGAAGAATCAACAAGTGTAGCCCAAATGTTGAAAACGCGCTTATCGGCTACTTAGCGGCCTGCAGTGGAATATCCACGCTGAATCCGAGCCAATAAACGCCCTGTTCGCGGGATGCTTCTTTCCTCGCGCTGCTTTGCAGTGTTTTTTAAATACAGATCTCGGGTCGTGATCTCCAAGCTCGCCGGGCGCTCGGTCAGGATGGGAACCCTTCCCGCCCAGTCGCGCGACCGGGCGAGCCTACGAAGGCACCGGAGGCCGTGCTCTGGCCGGGCTCCGCACAGGCTCAGAGGCACTCTCGCCCCTCAGCTCCCGGCACAGCCTCCCACCACTCGCTGCCCCTTTGATGAGGACAACCGCAAGACTCCGGCTGCGCCGCTTGGGGACGATGGGAGCTGAAGTCCAGCGCGGGCCAGCGAGCCGGGCCCCGCCCAGCCGGGAGCGCCAGGCCGGGGAGCCCGCCCCCCGCCGCCGCCGCCGCAGAACCGTTCATTGGCTGACGGGCCTCTTTCCCCTCCCGCGTCCCATTGGTCCGTGGCGGGGCGGGCCCCGCCCCCGCGGTCGCCTCGGCAACGCCAACGCCGCGCCGCGATGGGGAGCTGCAGGGGCGCCCGCGCCAGCCGGTCTGGGCTCAGGCTCGGGCTCGGCCGCGGCTCGCCCCTCGCCGTCGGCAGCCTCTCCGGGACCTCGCGCAGGCCAGTGGCGGGCGGGCGGCGGGGACGGGCGCGGGGGCGCGCCTCGCGGCGGGCGGTCCGAGCCCGCTCGGCGCCGCGGGGAGCCCGCCTCTGCTCCCGGCAGGCCCCCTCCCTCGGCGCTGCCCCGCACGCCCTGCGGCCGGCGCGTTCACACGTGCTCCCGCGCGCGCGCGCCCGCCCGCAAAGAGGCCCACGGGCAGCGTCCTCCCGCGGCGCCTGCAGGGCGGCGTTGTCGCGGGGGCGGCGGCCTCCTTCCCTGCCAGGCGGCCGGGGCGCGATCCCGGCCCTTTTGCCCGGAAGGGAAGGCCCGCCGCGCCCTGGCAAGCGCGGGGTAAACGGCCGGGCGGGGCGGGCCGGGGGCGCGCATCTGGTGCGCGTGCGCGGCCCTGGAGCCCGGGGCAGAGGGCGCTGAACGGGCAGGGGGGCGAGAGCGACCCTGTCCCGTCCGCAGCCCGTGCGGGCTTGTTTCCTCGCTTTCATCCGTTTGCGCTTCGAAAAGGGCCGCCCTGGGACACCGCGAGGGGCGCGATCCAGGGACGTTAAAGGAATAAATGAAAAGTGCGGGTTGGCCCGGGATGGGACCCGGCGCGCCTCGGGATGCTCCATTTGACCGGAGAGGCAGCCGGACGCAGCCGCTTTGGCGGACCGGCTTCGGGCACGCAGCCTTTTGGCCCGGGAATGCAAGCCGCAGCCCGCGATCGGCCATATTAATGCTAAACGCAGTGCCAGGTCGCTGCGTGCCGAAGGGCCGGGTGGAAGGATTGACCTGCCTCTGGATTCTCGTTTAGCTTTGTCCAACCAAGTAAAGTTTCCGAGTCAAAGTCTAGCGCGGGAGAGGAGCACTACGCAGCCAGTGTGGGGCACGTGGGTTGGCTCCAGGTCTCCATGCAGAAAGCCGAAAGTCCAACGCACACGGATATTAATGTAAGTCCTCCCCCGCCACCGCCCCCAGGCCTGGTTTCTGCGCTTCTGGTGCGCTTCCTTTATTCAGAGCTCAGGTGCCTGTGTAACTATGCAAATTCGGGATTATTTTTAAATGCCTGCAGTTCTAGGAGGAGGGTGAGTGTTTGAATGCAGAAAGTGCAAGAATTCAGATGCCAGATTGCTAAAATGAAATGAAATCTCCTAAGATTTAGGATGTGAATATTTTGTGAGAACAATTCTCTTTCTCATCCCAGGGTGTTTGCTGTGAGCTGAAAACTCTGGAGTATCCTCTGAGGATTTTTATCAAACATTTATATTTCACTTTTATATGTCAACTTTAAGGACAGGTGGGGTTTGAATGTCTAACAATGTGAATAGAAAAATCCCCAGTTCAAATTTAATCTTGATCAGAGGTGGGCTTGAAAGAGCCTCCTTCCTCCTCGTCTCTCCAGCTGTAATCTGGGCAGCCTGCATGCCCAGTGCTCAGAAGGGGCTACATAGATGAAGTCACTTTCACAGGACAAAAGCGCAGCAACCTTGTTGTTGAAAGCCGTAGCCCACCACAAGAGAAAAACAAAAGGGTATCAAATGTATAAATACATAATCCCTTGGCTATGAGTTATAGATGTTCAAAATGCAGCATAGTCTCTGTCCCATTTCCCCCACCCCTTTGAGTTCTTTTAGGCCTGGCTCATACTTTCTCCACTCATTTTTTGTTAGCTGCCAAAGCGAATGTGGTTACTGGTTTGGCAATCGGTTCATCTTTGCCTGCCAAGATGGTTCAGTAGGGCATCTCTGGCAGGGACGGAGGAGTACAGATCAGGAAGTCCGACTGAGGAATGCATCTCTGGACAGCATCTCTCCTCAGTCCTGGGAAGGTGCTTGAATTCCCGGTGCCGCCAGTGTGGAAAGAGCTGTGCTGGCTGCTTCTCCGAGACTGGAAATGAGTAAAGGGGGAGCAACCTGGAGAGGCCGGATAGGCGGTATTCGGATGGTGCTGCAGCTCCCGCCCCCCTCCAAAATGCTGCCGCCAGATGGCCAGAGATGGCCACCTTCAGAGCAAGGACGCCCATAACCCTCCCCTTGTGTGCTCAATAGATGAGGAGGAGCGTCTGCAGCGCCCCCGGACTCTCACAAAGTCTTAGGTGGTGGGGGTGTTACTGAATCTCCCTCTGGAAAAAGCAGGGGGCATTTCTTCGTTGTGGCCTCTGTGCATCGCACACATGGGAGCTGCGCCTGCGCACGGCCTAGGCCGGAAGATTAGAAAGCTAACGGCTTTTGGTGGGAAATGCTCCGCTCCCCTCCCCGCTGCAGTATAAATAGAGCAGAGCGTCCGCCATTTTACTCAGTCTCTGCGACCGCCGTTCGCTGTGCCTCGTGCCTGCTCCTCTCTCGCTTAGATCTCGCCACGTGCTCCTTTACGGTTATCTTGTTCAACTTACCTTTTCCTCGTTATATATCCCCGTTTCTCTTTTCCTTGTTGTAGCTCCTCTGTTCCTTCTTTTTCTAAAAAAACAAAAGCAAAAACCAAAAATATTACTTACCCTCTGTACTATCACCTCTTTTTTCCTTTTTGCGATGGCACAGCGGGCGGCATTCCGCAAGTGCGGTGAGTGCGGCCCCGAAATGTCTCCTGCAGACCCGCACGACTTGCGCCTCCTCTGCCTCGGCGAGGGGCACAGGGCCGACAGGTGCGGGCATTGCCTGGCCTTTACCAAACAGGCCAGGAAGAACAGGGAGAATCGTCTCCGCAAGTGACTTTGGGACCAGGCCTTGCTTCAATCCGACCAGCCGGTCGCAAGGCCTACCCCCTCCTCGGCTGCGCCACCTCAGTGCCCCACCTCTATCCCGGCTGCGCCCCCTAAGCGCCCCACCTCAACTTCGGCCGGTCCGCTGCAGCACCCTTCGGATGAAGGCACTGCTCCAACGGAAGTGCAACAGCTACCTTCTCCTCCAGCCAAACAAAAGGAGAAGCGTAAGCATTCAGAGCCGGAAAGGCCCTCCGGCCATAAGAAGCCGAGGAAAGAAAAGGCAGCTAAGGCAGCCCACAAGGGCAAGAAACCCGATCGCCCCAAACACCGAGGCTCGGGCTCGTCGGGGTTCTCAGTACCGACTGCCGCCACGGTACCAACTCCCTCGGGACCGGCCCTGCAGTCCGCAATGCAGGTGACGCCACCAGGATCCCCCAGGCCTGTTCTTCGGCCTGAGAGCGTGTCTCCTCCACAGGAGCCACCGCTTAGGGAGTCCATCTCTGATGGAGAAATGAGAGATTCCCCGCCGAGGCAACGCTCCCCGACACCAATGCCTGCTGTGGGGCCACCTGAGGGACCAGACTCTCCTCCTAGGCGTAGGAGCCGTTCGTCGGAGCACCGTGCAGATGGCTGGGCTATGCACAGCTATGGTGGCTATCCTGCCTGGAGCGGACTCCATCCATATGCCTTTTTTCCTCCGGACCGTCGCTCGCCGTCGATCCCGTACATTCCGTACATTCCACTTCTGGCTGTACGGAATGCAGACCTCCACCATCTCCTGAAAGCTCTTCGTCCAGTGAGCATTATCGCTACCATCAAGACTCAAACGAGTCGGAAGTCGACTCCACGTCTCCGGACGTGGCTATTACTTCCCAAGACCCGGGTTCCCCGGATGAGCACCATGTTTCTTTCTCGGAGCTGGTTTCTCGTCTAGTCCAGTCACTGGAGATAGAGGCCTACCACCACCCCGGGCCCAGCACAGACCAGTTTTACGACATCATCCGAGGGGAGCAATCTGCCACCGTTGCCTTACCGTTGATTACCACGCTTCGGCAGGCAACGGTTCAGCCCTGGGACCAACCACAGGCAATGTCTCGCCGGTATGAATCTATGTACCGGGTCCGAGAAGACGACATCCCGTTCCTGCTGCGCCACCCAAAGCCTAATTCGGTGGTGGTCGAGTCGTCCCAGGGCAGGGACGCTCGGGGACGTACAACACCCTGAGATGAGGAAGGGAGGAAGGTCGACATGATTGCGTGCCAGGTCTACATGGCTGCAGGACTCGGTTTGCATATTTCAGATTATGAGGCTATACTGGCACGTTACCAGTACTTCATTATGCAGAAGCTGGAAAACGTCGTCTCCTCCCTCCCGGACCAGCAGGCAGACCTAGCCAAGGTCTTCTTAAATGAAGCAAAGCAGGTGGCCATTCAACAGTTGTCTACCGTGAGACATCACGTAGACACTGATTCTCGGGCCATGGTCAGCGCTATCTCCCTCCGACGACACGCGTGGCTCAGGAACGGCAATTTCCCTGAGGAAATGAAGAGGAGGATAGAAGAAATGCCATTCGATGGCTCTGGCCTCTTCCACGCGAAGACCGATCGGAAACTCAGAGCCATCCACGAGTCCCATATGACGGTGCGTCGAATGGAACTCCCACAAGCAAAACGTAAGTGGCCATGGTCCAGACCCTACGGGCACCAGCAAGATCAGCCTCGCCAGCAGTTCCACCAGCGCCAGCAACATAGAAGGCAACAGCTCAACAGCGCTTCTCCCAGGGCCGTAGGTGGTTCGACACCGAGAAACGCCCCCATTGATGGTCCCAGCGAACCAATTCATCTCTCCAATTCCCACCTTCCCCTCTCCCCTTTGGGAGTCAGCTCCAAAGTCGACTTCCCATTTGGGAGGCCATTATATCTGATAGGTGGGTGCTGTCCATCATTCAGCTCGGATATAGAATAGAATTCGACATCGTTCCACCGTCGAGCCATATCCAATTTATACCACCATCTTCGGTTCTGTGCGATGAAATCCTTCACCTTCTTCATAAGGGAGTGATTCGACAACTCTCTCACACTGATGGGCTACATGGATTCTATTCTAGATATTTTACAGTGCCCAAACGGGACAGTGGTCTTCGACCTATCCTGGATCTAAGAGGAGTCAATAAATATATCAAACTGAGGAAGTTCCGGATGACCACTTTACAGAATATTCTTCCGTTGCTGAGGGAAGGGGATTGGTTCACCTCATTGGACTTGAAGGATGCATATTTTCATATTTCTATCCATCCTTCCCATAGATGCTTCCTTTGTTTTACTGTCGGATCCGATATTTTCGAATTCAATGTTCTACCATTCGGACTGGCTGTGGCACCGACAGTCTTCACAAAGTGTATGGCCCTGGTTTGCGCCCACCTACGGCTCCGGGGTATACAGGTCTACCCCTATTTAGATGATTGGCTAATTGTGTCACGGACTAAAGACAACATTTTAGCGGCTGTCCGTGTGACTTGTGCTTTACTTGATGACCTCGGACTCTGTATTAACCTTAAGAAATCATCACTTATTCCCACACAGGTCATCGATTTCATCGGAGCACGTGTCAGCTCCACCCTGCAGAGAGCGTTCCTTCCTCCGTCCCACAGGGCCACCCTGTGTACGCACGTCCATCGGATTCGAGGGCAAAGGACAGTTCAAGCCATCACTATACAAAGATTGTTGGGACACATGGCAGCCTCAGTGGCCACTGTGCTGCACGCACGGCTCAGGCTCCGCCCGCTCCAATTATTTTTCAACAACTCGTTCCATCCGCAGCGGGATCTACAAACCAAGCTTCTGCGGATTCCATCTTCGATCCTTCACACCCTGATGTGGTGGACTATTTCCCGCAACCTATCTGTAGGCGTTCCGTTCCGCGCACCCCAACCGACAGTGACAGTGTACACTGATGCGTCTCTCATCGGATGGGGTGTGACATGCACAGGACTTCGGGTCCAAGGGGCATGGACCCGACAGGCAGTGGCGAGGCATATCAACTTCCTCGAGCTTCTAGTGATTTTCAGTGCTCTCAAATCTTTCGAAACCGTCTTACACCGCCAAGTTGTACAGATTGCGTCCGACAGCATAGCTGCAGTTTTCTATGTCAACAAACAGGGCGGGACAAAGTCACCTCTCCTGGCCCGTTTGTCAATGCAAATCTGGGACTGGTGCATTCCTTGGGACATCATGATGCTGGTGGTTCATTTTGCGGGAACCGACAATGTAGAAGCCAATGCACTGAGCCGACAGATGTCAACTACCCACAAATGGGAGTTGGATCGAGTGGTTTGCAACCAGCTGTTCCAGTTATGGGGACAACTGGTTATAGACTTGTTCGTGACCCGGTCAAACAGGGTGTGCGAACTGTTCTGCTCCAGAGCGGGGCTGGGACTGGACTCGAGGGGAGATGCCCTAATGATCGACTGGAACAAACTGTTCTTCTAAACGGTCCCTCCAATCCCACTCCTCATGAAGGTAGTGTCGAAGATCGTGCACGACGCCCCAGGAATTCTGATAACCCCACGGTGGCCAAGGCAACCCTGGTTCACCACTCTCCTCACTCAGTCCAGAGGAGTTTTTCGACGACTTCCACTTGTTCCTCATCTGTTAACACAACACAACGGGACAGTCCAACACCCGGACCTGCTCTCGCTGAAGCTAACAGCGTGGTGCTTCTGATAGATCTGAATTTTCCATCGGCTCCGTTGCCGTCCCGATCGATGCAACCAACTCCTCCCTTGGAACCGTCAAGGTCCGTTTCGGGACTGACAGTGTTATCCTCGGATATCCAGGCAATTCTCGAATCTGCACTACGACCTTCCACACACAAATCATATTCAGCAAAGTGGAGAAGATTCTCTTTCTTTGCCAATGCCCATTCCTTCTCTCCAGAGTCGGCTTCGATCGAGAATATTTTGCAATTTCTATTCGACCTTCATCGCTCGGGACTCAAGGCTTCATCTATAAAGATTTAGGTATCTTGCATTTTCGTGGCAGCATCCAGGGGTCATCTGTTTTTTCTCAACCCCTGATTCACCATTTCCTTAAAGGGCTACAAAATTTGCACCCGTCGGTTCGACCTGTTATGCCGACGTGGAGTCTTTCTGTTGTACTTCAGGCCCTTACAAAACCTCCATTTGAACCTTTGGCAACAGTGGATTTGTGCCTAGTTTCATGGAAAACTGCCTTCCTGGTTGCAGTTACTTCAGCCAGAAGAGCCAGTGAACTGTGTGCTCTACGCATAGACCCACCGTTCTCGAACTTTCACAAGGAAAAGGTCATTCTCTGAATGGACTCCACGGTTCTTCCCAAAGTGGCTACACCGTTTCATTTGAACCAAGACATCGTCCTCCCTGTGTTTTTTCCATCTCCGTCGACTCCGATTGAGCGCTCTCTCCATACGCTGGATCTTAGGCGCTGTCCAGCCTTTTACAGGTCTCGCACAGAAGCGTTCAGGAATTCCAACAGACTTTTCGTCACGGATGCTGCTCATGACAAGGGCTCTCCAGTCGCATCTCGGCAACTGTCCAAATGGATCGTGCAGACCATAGTCCTAGCATATCAACTGGCAAAGCTTGACTTGCCCTCACTTCCGAGGGGGCATTCTGCGCGAGCAGTAGCGCCTCGTCGGCCGTTGCAGCAGGGGTTCCCATTCAGGATATTCGCAAGGCTGCAGCTTGGGGTGCTCCATGTATTTTTGCCAAGCATTATCGGCTTGATGGCCAGAAGGGATTGTTCCTTTTGTAGAGCTGTGCTCTCTGCCATTCTTCACTAATGACACCTTCCCTCCTCCAAGTCTGGTAGGCTTGCTAATCACCCGTATGTGTGATGCACAGGGGCCACGGCAAAGAAGAGCAGGTTGCTTACCTGTAACTGATGTTCTTCGAGTGGCCATCTGTGCAGTCACACAACCCACCTGCCGGCCCCGCTCGGTGTTGGTGAGTGGACTGTTTTTTCTTACTGTCGGTTCCGTGTTATTCCTACGGTACCGTTTTTTCTTGCTGTGATGCTGTTTTTCGAACGTTAGGGGGCGAACGTCGGTCTTCAAGACTGAGTAAAATGGCGGACGCTCCGCTCTATTTATACTGCAGCAGGGAGGGGAGCGGAGCGTTTTCCCGCCAAACGCCGTTAGCTTTCAATCTTCCGGCCAAAGGCACTGCGCAGGCACAGCTCCCATATGTGTGAATGCACAGATGGCCGCTCGAAGAACATCAGTGACAGATAAGCAAGCTGCTCATGCTGGCGCCATTAGGCTTCTTAAAGGAACCGCAGCGAGGATTATAAAATAATTCTCTAAGCCAAAGGTTTCATATAATGAGTTCCACCTAGAGTGAGAATTTGTGAAATGGAATATGGATTCCACCTCATGACACGGGGCAGAGAATTTCTTTGACCATCTGCTTAGCTCTGTTTGCAGAAAAAATAGGCAAAGGCCCAGGGCTAAGCCCATTGGTCCAGCCAAGTGTACGCATGCGTGAGCTTTCCTCTTCTTCCTCTTCTTCCCAAATACTAGTTTGAACTTGGCATATTCAGGTGCACTTCTTCTGTACAGAATGTGTTCAGTTTACTCAGTAGCCTAGCTCATTATTACCTCACCTGCTCAGGGTAGCATGACCCAGAGTTATCTCTCTGTAATCCTGCAAGGAGGATAGACTGTGGTGGGTTCAGTGTTCACCCAGGCGGATTGGATTTGATTCGTTCTCTTAGACTACAGCTGCCCAGCTGTCCCGCGCAGCATAGCCTCCCCTGCAGGGATAAATTGCAGGTGCAAAGCGGGTTTGGACTGTGCAGAAGCAGGGTCAGCCCTGTTGAGTAAGTGCTGCGGAAGCCCATCGGTTGCTGCTGCTGCTGCTGCGTTTCCGGGGAGTGCCTGGAAGCTGAAGCACGAGCCGTTCATACAATTGACCCGCGCAGCTGTGGGTTCCTTTGCTCCCATATCAGGGCTTCTCTGCACTGCACATGGCTGCTCTGCACCGGCGGCTGGACTGCCTCAAAATGCTCATTGAGAAATTCAAGGTCAGCGTGAACGTGGCCAGCGTGACGGGCTGGAGGCCCATCCACCTGGTGATCAGCAAGGAGGGCGGGAGCACCGCGCTGGACTGCCTGCAGTACCTCATCGGCAAAGGGGCGGACATCAACGTGTGAGCTGTGCGGCCTTTGCCCCCCCCTGCCCCCCCCGGGCACAACCCGCAGGGCGTAAGCGGGTGGGGTTGTCCCCTAAACCGGAGCCTTAAAACACGCACGAGGAGCGAGGCGTGGATTGCATGGCGCACCGGTGCCGAGGAGGCCGAGGCGATGGCGGTAAACGCCCGGATGCCTCCGGGCAGCCGAGGGCCCCCGCCTGAAGACCAGGAGCCCCCGGCCCTCGTCCTGTCGGCCTCCACAGCCAAGGGGGTCTGCGAGTGGGTGCTGGCTGGGTAGCACACGGGCCTCTCCTCCAGTCCCCCTTTCCTGCGTGGGATTCCCAGGCCGTAGCCGGCAGGCCAGTGGGGGGACACAGAGTGCTCGCTTGCCAAGGGCGAAGGTGAGGAACGCGTTGGGCCCCCCGGAGGAAGCCGTGCCGCTGTGCAGCTGTGAGGCCCTGCACTGTGACCCTGCTGTTGCCCACGGGCGGCTGCTCTGCTTCTGCACTCGGACCTTTCATCGCCGGTGCACAGATCAGAGCCTGTGGCTCTGTGGCACCGGAAGCTCTGCAGGTGTCTCCTGGCCTGGCGGGCAGCGGGTTCCGCCATGTTCTCTGCCAGCTGCTCCCGGAGTGCTTGCAGTCTCGCTCAGGCAAAGCTGTCTGGCCGCTTCTGTCAAAGTGCATTACTGAGGCCTGAACCCCCCATTCTCAGGCAGAACCACGCCGGGGTGTCCCCTCTTCACAAGGCAGCGAGCGAGGGGCACGAGATGTGCGTCAAGGCACTGATCGACGCGGGCGCCAATGTCCACGCCACGGACGGAGAGGGGCACATGCCCATCGATGTGTGCAGGATGTGGGGCAGCAAGACCTGTGCCCGGTGAGTCATTCCCCTCCGGGCATCGTGGCCAAGAGGTGGTGCCGGGTGTCAACGACACCCGCCGAACAGCCAGCCGTTGGCCCTGGACCATGGCCTCCCGGTTGTGCTCAGTCGGGCCACAGGTCCGAGTCCAGAGGGAAACGGCCCTGGAGTGGATGCGAGTCTCTCACACGCTGCGGGAGACGATGTGGAAAGAGTTTCTCAGTGGGGCTCTGATTCTGGAACGGATGAAAGCAAGCCTTGCTTAAAAGAATGTAGCACATGCAAATTCCAGATCATTCCGTGAGTTCTGTTGTCAGCACATGCCGCTGGCCCCGAGCAGCCGGCACGCTGCGTCGAACCCGGGAAGCGTCCCTTGTGCAGCCAGTGATCCTGCAGCCATGCTAGAAACACCTGTCCGGGATCTCTTGCCACGGCTGACCGGCCCGTGGCCCTCTGCCTGCCGTTCTCCACACCCCGCCTGCTCCGTTCTTTCGTAAGAACACGAGAAGCCCCGTGGCTCAGACTCGGGCTCCCTCCGGGCCGGCCCTCCGTCCGCACAGTGGCAAAGCTCAGCTTTGGGAGCTCACGGGAACCCCCAAGCGGGATGGGTGCAAGCCCCCGCCCCCCCAGCAACAGCGGCACGGCACCTGTCCCCGCAGCTACCTCGCCAGTGCCATGTGGAAAAGGGACAAGGCGAACCTGGCTCGGGAGGTCTTCAGACTGAATGCAATCAAAGCGGAGTGCGAGAAGAGGCAAAGGGAATTCCTTAGAAGAGAGCAGGTAAGAGACATCACAGGCGAACACCAACGAAGCCCCCTCAGTCGCTGTGGATGTCGGCACCCCCGTCTCTCCCTATATAGGTTGGCAGGCACATTTGAAATGTTGGGAAAGTGCCGCTGGCACCATCACAAAATGGCTGCAGTAACGAGTATGGCTGGCTGTAAACGCCCATTTCACAGAAGGGCAAACTGGTGAGGCGAAAGGTCAAGGAGCTTGACCGGGAGCTTGAGGGAGAAGCGGAACCGCAGTGGGAAACCACGGACCGCTCTGGCCCCCCGCTGCCACGCCTCCCTCTCACGCCACCCGTCCATCACCCAAGTGCACCCACCCTCCTGTCAGAATCGCTCCCGCCCGAGCACGCCCGGCCGGCCTCCCCATGGGTGGCCTTCCCCTTCCAGGGGCCCCACAGGCCGCCTCCCACGTGCCGGGCCATCCCCAGCTCTTGCCTGGCCGCCCTGCTGCCCCCCTCCCCCGTCCCCCTGCCCCACACATTCTGGCAGAAGAGGTCCGTTGGCTCTTTCCTCTCCCTCGACCCCAATGTGGCAAAGCACAGCACTGCCCTCCAGCAGCCTCCCATCTTTCCATCCAGGAATGTGTCTGAGGAATAAAGATGGGAAGCAGCTGGAAGTCAGCGCCAAACTGGGAGGCTCCCCAGCCTCCTCCTCCTCAAAACCACGTTCAAGCCACGTAAAAGGAGGCGTGGGGAGAGCAGGGAGGCGCCTGCAGGGCCAGTGGGGCCCATGAGCACCACCTTGCTGATCCCCAGATCTTCCCCTGCCCCCGAGCCTGAGCAGCAAGATGAGGCCGTGACTCAAGGGGGTCGCCATCTCCGCCAGCGTGGGAGCCTCTGCTCCGCCTGAGCTGCTCGGCAGCCGTGCCCTTGCACCAGCGAGACGGGTGGGAAACCCTGGGCCCGGCCGTGGCAGCGGGTGATGGCGCCAGCCTGCCTGAGCAGCCCCCTCACCTGCTTCTCTGGGGGCTTTCGTTGCAGAGGGAGTTGGACATCTTCAACAGCCTGGCCTTTGAAAAGTGGCTAGCAAAAAAGAACTTTCCCCTGCCCTCCGGTAGGATCTTGGGCTTGCTGGAAAGCAGGCGCCCGCTGTCGGTGGCCCTCCAGAAATACACAGGGAAGACGGCCAGCCTGGCCTCCTGCGCCAGCCGCACGCTGGCCAGAGCAGCAGGCTTCGACCCGGGCATGCCCCAGAGGAGCCGCAGACGGGAGTCGTGGAACGGCAGCCCCAACCCGGCCTCGGTGCCAGTCACGTGCATCGCCCGCCCAGTCACCGTCCGGCTGGGGGTGGACCCGGAGGAGCCCCAAGACCACGACTTCACCTCCTTCCTGTTTCTCTTCCGGAATGCCTTTGGGGAGCCCGAGATCCAGGTGGGCAACATGGAAATGGTCTCGGATGTGCCCAAGCTGCCTTTTGACGTCATCGCAAGGAGCCTGTTTCCCCGGATGCAGGGCAGCCGCCTGGAGGTCCCAGCAGGTCTGCGGCCCGCGCACCTCCTGGACCTGAAGCACAGGCGCCCCCCGGGGCCAGAGCAGGTGTGGACAGACCAGATGGCTGTGAGCTTGCGGCAGACCCTCGACCCGGCCTTCCTCCGTGCACTTAAGGCCCATCTCTCCACCTACGCTGACCCCAGCGTGCTGTCTCCGAGGGGGCAGTCCGAGTGTGCCAGCGACCGGCAGGCTGCCTCAACCCTGGGCAGAGGTGGCCACAAGTGCTAGGCCCTTCCGTGCTCTCAGCTGGTGGCTTTGCTCGGCGTGCCTGCCTGCCTCGGCAGCGTGGCGAGATCTGCATATTCCCCTTTTTTCCAAGAACCGTTCTAGTCCTGTGAGGATCAGTTATGAAATAACCACCCTTGAACTGGCTCCATGGTCTGATCTGTGCAGATGGTCATGAGTTTAAACTTGGGAAAGAGCACCTGGAAAACGGGGCGCTCCCAACCCTCCTGTGTCATTCTGTGAAAAGTGACCAGGTAAATGATGTCCAGCCAGGTGTGCTCCGCTGGGAGGAGTGCCGATTTAGGGGCTGTATCCGTGCATACCCTTTTCCCGCATAACCTGACCAGAGCTTTACAAATCCCGCAAGAACACTTGCCAGCCTGTTGCTCTCTTGGTCTCCCCATGCAGAATCGGGGCCCCTAAAGAACAGTCTGTCGGCCAGATCAGACGGCCTGGGAATCTCCTTAACTTGTGAGACGAGACAGAGCTGGAGTAGAAGAGCCAGGCCTCCCATACACCCATTCCGGGGGGTGGGGGCTGCAGCTCAGCGGCGGAGCCCCTGCTCTCCGTGCAGGCCTCCAGGGCAGACCTCCTCCTCTCCAAGTGGCACCTGGAGTGCGGCCGCCACCACCGCCAGTGAACAGCGGCAGGAGGGTCGGGCCCATGTGGGGCTCTGCCTGAGGCAGCTTCCTGTGCTGTTCCAGCCACTTGGCTCTCCCCCCCCCGCACCCCCTTCACTGCCACCATGGTGCAGAAACCCGGCGTCGTGTCTATGGGGGAGCAGGACAGCTGGTTTGCCCGGTTTAGTGGGTGGCCTTGGCTGCAGTGAGTTGCAGTGTCTCTCCAGGATTTCAGCTCCTTGGAGATGCTGCTAAGGACTGTTTGTGGGAGCTTCTGCACCCCCCCCCCCACACACACACGTAAATGGTCTGCATCGCATTAAGGGGAACCCTTTCCACACTGCTCCATGTAAAGCATGGTCAAAGCCTCACATTTCTGGCGCGATCGTCGTCTTCCACACTCAACGCAGGCTTTGTGAGGGCACAGTTCCTGGGGAGAAGCCCCCCTCTGTGTGTTTTGGCATCATCCGATGGCATGCTAGTGAATCGCGCGCTCTACACCCTGCCGATCAGTGTGGCTGTGTGTGTTTTTCTTCATGAGCTACAGACTTGGGGCTACAGCAATAAAGCACAAAAGTTAAGAGCCAGGTAAATTAAGTATCTATGTATCCTTGACAATTGGCTGCAAAGTCCACTGTGTATTAATCATGAATCATAAACCTCAGGCACAGAGATATAACGGAGAGTGAGCAAGGGAGTGAGCTAGCGCTAGAAAGCCAAAAGATGTAGGTGAAAGCACCACAGGACTGCCTGGAAAGAACGGCAAAATGTGATCCACAATAGTGGATCGTATGTATTAAAAATAAATCTGTAAGACGTGTTTGCGTGAAACATGCACTTCAGCCACAGACAAAAGCCATTCTTAAGATCGCCCTGGGCCTCGCTTTGTTCCTCCCTTGCTGATCAGCAGCCCTACCAGGTTGCTTGGGGAAATGGCACTGGGGGGGGGGGTGTTTAACCCTTTCCCGCTCTATAATCCATCCCCCAACGTTGTTCCGAGCTCTGTGGAGAAGGAAGATGGGAATATCCTGATGGAAGATGGGGAAATTCTGTTAAAAGTGAAAACTAGAGTGTAGTTATGCCAGTAAAAGGTATTGCAGCCCAAGCGCTATCCCAGGTGTGGTAGGGAATTAACCCTTTTGCCGTATCATACCTGGGTGAATTAGAATACGAACACCCCGTACTTCCGACGGTCTGGTAAGGAACCTCGGGTAGTTTTGCTCTCGTCCCAAAAGCATGCCAAGAACTTGCTCCGTTCTGCAAGGCTGAGGAGCTGCCATTCATGCCAGTGGAAAAGTGCGGCTTCCGCCCCCGGAGGCCGGCAAGGTGCTCGATGCCGCTGTCCAGGGAGACGGACGAGGGGTCTGGCTTGGAAACATCCTTCGGCATCAGAGCTCATTTTCAGCCAGGTGCTGGTCAGGCTTCAGATGCAACCTATGAGCGCCTCTGATCCCACCAAGCAGGATTCGGGGGGCCAGTCCTGATCAGTGTGCAGGTGTCTCGCATCAGTCTTGCCAACGCTGGCCTCCAGACGCGACGTGCTGGCTGAGGGGGCCAGGCACTGCGACACATCTGGAGCAAACCAGGTTGGGAGAGGCGATTCTGCAAGAAGCTGGCCGGAAGGCTGCGCACTCCGCATACGGACTGAAACCTACGCAGCACAGCCCGTGGAGCGCAGCCTCGATGTTTCCCGCAACTCGGTGGCTGAAGGCATCTGCCTTGGGCTCGCAGGAGGCAAAGACCGGACGGCTGCTTTGGGAAGCAGCATGTTGCCCCCTTCGGAGGCACCCGAGGAGCCTTCCCCACGCGACCTGTAATTTCATGTGTCTTCGGAGGGGCTGCGTGCAGGCCGAGTGCAGAGCCAGGCAAGCGAGGGGCTGGGCCACCCCATGCGAGCCACTGACCGTGCTGCTCACACGCGGCGGCTGCTGCACTGAGTCGGCCTTGCCACGTTTGAGACCCGGATCCCCACAGCCGAGGGGAAGAGGCGCAAGCCGTGGCCATGAGGGGGCCTGCGGGGGCCCAGGCCCTCCCGCCCTCAGTGCGTGGCGCCGCTGGGTCCCCGGGCAGCGCCTCGCCCGGAGATGGACGGGCCTCGCACGCTGCGCAACAGGTTCCACTCAAAATGCGCCATTTCGCCCGCAAGCCAATAGTAGCAGCATCCGAGTCGGGGGAAAGCCACACCTGCGTACCAACAGGGCTGGTGCCCAGGGCACCCCCGCCTCCTCCCACGCACACCTTCCCACACCCGATGACACTGCCACATGCCGTCACCTCCAATTTACGGCGACCCCATGCAAGGAGGCCGTCTCGAGTCCTGCTCAGCTCTTGGGAAAGCAAGGCCAAGGCTGCCCTGATGGAACCAGTCCGTTGCAGAGCTGCTCATCCTCTGCCTTGCCTTCCCAAGCGTGGCGGTCTGGCACACAGAGCCAGCCTGGCGAACCCTCCGTTCGCTCCAGCACCTGCTCTGGGTTTGCAGATGCCACGTGAAAGCACACAGAGCACGCAAGGGAGAGAACAGCTGACGGACCAGAGCTCCCAGCTCCCGTCACTGGGCAGCAGCGCCACATTTGAGTGGCTCCACTGAGGGACGAATAGCTACTGTGGGATCCCACATACTGGTGGGGGGCCTTCCAGGGAAGGGGCCGTGCCAGGGATGTGTGGCGGTGCGTAGCACACCGCATGCTCTCCCACTCAACTGCTCCCACGCACCCCGGCAATCCCCCCTCTCTTCCCCCACCCCCCAGGCATAACGGCTCTGAAGTTGGGACCCTGGGGGCCGGCACCTGGTTCCCAGCACGGCCAGCTGAGCGCCCGTGGGAATCCCCCAAGCAGGGCAGGCACAGGAAAGCCGCTCACACGTGCTCTCCAGCAACTAGCATCTCCCCCCGCCACGGTTCCCTCTCCTCTCTGCTCCGCATAGGCTTTAAAAGTCTTCATTGCCACCAGCGGAAGGTCAGGAAAGGGGCCCCGTCACCCACGCCGGCACCAGCCAGCGCTTCTAAAGGCCGAACTGCGGCCTGAGGTGGGCCGGGGCCGAGCAAAGAGGGACGCGGGCTCCCTACCCACCCCAGATCTGAGCCAGCGTGAGCGAGCCCAGCTCCTCCGGTGCAGGCAGCCGGCCTGGCCACGGAGCGGCGGCTGCACACACTTCCGGGCAGACCCAGCCTGAGAACTCACCATCACATGGCCAAGGCACCCTAATGGGGTTCCTCGGCCTACTTTAAAGAGACTTTTGGAACAAGGCTCCTCCGACCAGGAAGTGGGTCGGCCTCGCTCCTGCCCAGCCCATCAGCTTAACTGGCCATCTTGTGCCCTCAGAAAAAGAGGCGCTTGACGGCTGCACCATGTCCTAGAAAGAGGACTTCGCCTCACCTGCTTCCTATGCAGTGAGCACTGGGGAGCAGGGAAAATGAGCAGGAACGCCACCCAACTGGAAACTAGGAGACTCGGAAGGCCATTGGGATGCCTAATACTCCAGGGCAGGGGAGAAACCTCCACCTTCCGGCAGCAGAGCCCCCGTTAGGTCCAGATCAGCCTGGAACCATCCAAAGCAGGTGCTGGATCACCCCGAAATACTTCTGCCCTTTCAGCCCCCCCCCCCCCACAAGCCATGCTTCTGCCTGAGCAACAGAGCAGGAACAAGGGCTGGATCTCCCGCACCGTTCTGGCCCTGACCCTTGCTGCAGACGCTGGCGACCGGGGCCTCGGTAAGGCACACCTGGACAAACGGCGCGCTTCGCCTTCCTGGTTTTTAAGGCAAAATTTACCTAACACTTTTATTAACACAGATCGAGTGTAAAACAGAACCAAACTTCCGTAATTTTGAAAGAGAACAAAGTGATTGGCAGCCACACCATGGCACCTCTTCCTTTCAGCTGCTTAGATGGTTCTGGTAGCTCGGAGGAGCTGCTGATCCACCACCCCAGAAGGTGGAGGCAGGGGCTGCGGGCGGCCTCGGGGGCGAGACGCCACGAAAAGCCCTTTGCGTTCCAGCGCTATCCGCACCCTGTCGCCATTTCTTTGCAAGCAGCTGCTCCTTCCCTGATATTCTCACGTGTCTGCGCAGCCCGATTTTCGCCCAGTGTGGCAGGTTCCAAGTTAATGAAACCTTTCCGAGAGAGGGATGTGTTAGCCACCTTCACTTTCGAACGGGGCTTCCCATTCGTAAAACTCAAGCGCTGAAGGAGCGGTGGAGATCTAGGAATTCTGTGCAAATAATCATCTCTAGCTCACCATTTTGGAAGTCTACAGAGACCAGAAACATCTCCAAAAGGAGATGCCTGGTAAAAGGGAGCAAGAAAAGCGATTCTCGTGTCCTCGTTCCAGAGGGCAGGCTCCATTTACACAAAAGCTGATTCAAGGTTCACCTCCAAAAATATTATCCAAGATAGGGGCAGGAGCTGGACCTCCTGCCCATCTCCCTACCACAAAGTTAGGTACATATTTTACAAGAAATGCTTACAGAAGTCCACTCGCTCCCTCGTGTCTCCAAAGAGTTCTACAGAGAAACACACTGGAAAAATTCTGGTGGCAGGAGAATCCACGTGCTGTGATTGTAAGTCCGAGGGAACCCCATCCAGCCTCGCACACCTCGTGTCGAGAAGGACAGTGTGGAAATGCTTTAGCTTTCAGAGGAAACAATGGCAGCTCAGCACACGGCTCCATCCCGCATGTGGTGGAGACAGGGCCCAAAATTCCAGGAGGTCATCACCTTCCTTGAACACACCTGCCTCACTGGCAAAGCAGCAAAGGACGCCTTCCCAGAACGCGGGCTGGCAGGCCCATGGCTGCTCGCCAAAGGTCCCTGGCGTGTCCCCTGGACAGACACAAGGGAGAGGTGGCATGCCAAGGCGCAGGTACCTCCAGCTCTGTCTGGACGAGAGCGCACATGTGCAAACAGAAGACGCCGAGGGGGGTCAGTAGATCTTCTGGCGGCTTGGCAAGATCGCTTCCTTAATGAACGAGAAGACGACGAGGATGCCGGAGCGCTTCCCCCGCTTCCCTTTGGTGAAGTAGTTCGATACCACGTCGTCTGCGGAGGCAAAAGGACAGGGCAAACAATGACTCGGACTGCAGTCAGGTAAGCTGCGTGGCCCCTTCACTACCCGCTGCCTCAGTCTGGGAGGAGAGGGGCCCCCTCGTGGCGGAAGGCTCCACTGTGGCCCACAAGCATCGTGTGGCGGGACCTGCAATTGCGACAGGCCACCCGCCGCTGCGCAACCAAGATGAGGCGGCTGCTACCACGCGGCTGGGGTGGAGGCGGACAGGGCTCTTGGGATCCCACGCAGCCACTCGCCCAAAAAGTCAAGTTTCCGGACCTCAAGCTTACATAAGGTGCGGGTGAGGCCGTATGAAACCTGAAACAGCTGGGAGGACGGACAGGGGAAGGAGGGTTTGGTGCCCGGGCAGTTCCTCCCCCTGCGTGGCTGGCAGCACCTCCCCTGCCCAGACCGCCACAGCCGCCCTCAGCTCAATCTGCACAGCCGCTCCCCGTCTTCCATCTCGCTCAAGAAAATTAAATCCCAGATCTGGAGCGCTGCAAAGATAACGGAAACCGCTCCATCTGTGTCACTGGTCCCAACTGTGGCAGCGCCGCCACCCCCCCCGCCTCCCCGCCCCGGCTATAAAGGATCTGCCCTGGCTGTAAGAAAAGTGACCTCCAGGCTGCACGGTGGAAGGCAAGACGTTTTCGCCCGCTGACAAGGAAACGAAGAACGCAAAGGGGATTAACCACAAGCAGAAGGTGAAGTAGGCAAGGACCTGGGGATGGAACAGGGAGAGGGTGTCAGCGAGCCCCTGCCGCCAAGCCGGCCCACCCAGCAGCGCGCACGGCACGCCCCCACTGCTGCCCCGCACAGCCACGCCGGCACCGACGGCATCGCGATCGGGCCCCGTCCCCGCTTGGTGGCATTTGCAAACGGCCCCGGGAGAACCGCACGCAGCACGGGGGTGGGGAGGTGAGGTGGAGGGCCTGCGTCCCCCAGAGCATCGCGTGCCCAGACCCAGCCCCGCCCAGCCTCACAGATGGGCTGCAGCAGGTGCCCCCGGCTTGCCCTCTGTGGGCAACAGACCCCCCCTCCCAAAAGCAGAAACAAACCAGCAGAAGCTCACGGGCCTCTCCACTGAGCAACCTCCCACCTGGGTCGCGGTCGTGCGCCCGCTGACACGGGGCGAAGAGCCACCGGCCGTTAACCGAGTGCGCGTCGCCTCGGAGGCCCAGCGCGCACGGAGCGGGGTCGTGCTTTCCGCAGGGCCCGGCAGGCTGCCCTGCTGAGCCACGGAGCATCAGAGCAGCCACAGCAAGAGCAAACCCCCGGCTTCCGAAGGCCCAAACTGCAGCATGGCACCTGCTCTCTCCTCCTCATGCAGCAGCCCCAGACGGCCGTCCGTGGGAGCGCTTACCTCTGAGAATGGGTAATACTCTTCTGCAAAATACTGGAAAGCTAGGTAGTGGTTCAGCACAACCAGCACTGCCAAAGGAAAGGCAAGTTTCTCAGGTTGCCCAGTGTGAAACCTCCCCCCGGCACCAGCCCCCCCACCCAGTAGGGCCTGCGAGCAGCCACGGAAGGCACCGCAGAGCGCTGCAGCGGATTGCAGCCTGCTCGTGGCCGAGCTGAGACTCGAGTCAGGTTTCAGAGAATCTCAGGTCTCCTTTTTGAAAAATGCATGTTTCTAGCCCTGCTTGTGGCAACGTATTGGCCATCTGCCTTAGGTTTCACGGGAGCTGGAAACTCCCATAATACCCCAGCCAGTAAGCGGCTTGCAATCTATTCAGGCTAGCAGTCTGGGAGCTATAGTCCAACCTATCCAGAGGGCACCATGTGGAAGGTTGGTGCAGAACTTTGCTCCTCAGCCACATGGGTTATATAGCCCAAAAGCCAAAGCAGGGATTCTCAAGTCTTAAAGGTCCTGCCCATGTACAGCTATGCAGACTTTTGACACAAGGAAAGCTGAGAACACCACCTAAAACGGCACTCACCGCAGGACAGGATGAAATTTGGAGAGGTGAGCATGATGAAGGGGAAGGTCTGCAGCAATCCGAAATAGACCAGGTTGGTAAACAGGCCCACGCCAACCATGAGGCCTGGGAAGTGTTCGAAGAGGTACAGTCCAACCAGCACAGCCGTGGAGAACTAAAGGAAAACACAGGCCAAGACCGCTTCAGCCGGCCTCACCAAGCAAAGGCCCATTTCGAGGCGTTCCCTCAGGCTCTGGCAAACTTATGCAAGTGCATGGAATCTGAGATCTCGCCGGGTTAAAATGCAAAACATAGATTTCCCCCTAAAGTGAGCCACATGGGGCAGCTGACAGCCATGCTCCCCTTGGAAAAGGAAAAGGATACCATGGGGGTGGCTGTCCCTTGACCGGCAGATGCAGACAGGTGGTCATCCTCCCCCCACCTTAGATTTGTTTTACTCTGGAGTGTGATGCGTTAGCGGACTCCCAGGCATTTGGCGTAAGCCATGTAACAGGTCCTCCTGCCTTCAACTTGGAATGTGTGCCCTGGAGGAATAACCCACCCTCACCCTGGACATCCCGGGCTTGGGGTCCACAAGCAGGACGTGTTTACGCACACAATCCGCTCGTCACGGGCAAAGATCAGGGAAGGCAGGCAGAGGCTCACCCAAATCATATACTTGATGATCCTGCTCGTGGCTACTGTGTACTCTTCTATCAGTTCTGCCAAGTAGTACAAGCCAGCCGCTGAAACGAAAAGGAGCCTGTTGGACACCGATGTCAGCTCAGGAAGAAGGCCAACCACTCCTTCAGTTCTGGCCACGTAGCCTCTTGCTTGTGAATTCCAAAGCAGCAATATAATTATAACCAGTTCCAGGCTTTGGTGTCTCCGGGAGCAGGGCAGCTCAGGTTCTGCCATGCCCAACTCGCTTCAAATGCTGAAAGTCACTGAACATTGAGCTTACTAACTGCAGCTGTCTCATGTTTCAAACACTGCACCTCCGAGCATTTCCAGATAGTTCTTTCCTTGCACAGCAAGTATGTATTCCTTGCTCTCTAGCACATCCCTTGTTCTAGCACTCAAGAACCTCCCTCTTGTGCTGTTTCTTGTTCCAATTCCTGCCCATACTTTGATTTGCAAGTCTTTCTTACTCTGCTTAACCAGTGAGTGCAGCATCCCCACGGGATCATTACTAGATGAAACAAAGAAATTATTTTTCTCTCTTTCCTATAATAGCAGAACCCAGGACCACAGTATTACAACCCAGGAACCCGAGCGGGACAGCCAGACAGCGCCGTGGCAGGCCTGCACGCGAGCTCCCAGCCCGCAGACCGTGCAGAGGGGCGAGAGGCATTCGGGGGGATCCGCCGCGCAGCGGCACCGAGCGACCGCGCTCCGCTGGCCCCGGGCTCGCGGCGGGAGGGCTGGCACGGCGGCCTCCAGCCGAGCGGCAGAGGACGCGGGGCGGCCTTCGCACCGCCCCGGACCAGGCGGAGGGCGCCGCGGGGCCAGCGGCCTTCCCGAGTCGGCCCGGGCCGGGCGGACGCCCCGCTCCGCCCCGCTCCGCGCCCCGGGCCCTGCCCGCCGCAGGCCAGCGCGCCGGGCCCTCCCGGGGCACGAGGCCG